CTGTCCAGTTGGAATCACTTGCTGGTGGAAAAGAAACTGCTATAATAGTTTGGAGCGAACATCGAGTTTTGCAGAAAATCTGTCACCTTCAATGACAATAAAAATTACGTTTAAAAAGTCACTCTGTTTTCGGAAGCTAAGCAGGGTCAGGCCTGGTTAATACTTGGATGGGAGACCACCTAGGAAGACCAGGTGCTATAGGTATAAAAAATAAAAAAAATAAGGGATTGTAAACTGACAAGGTCTTTGCAATCTGTGAGGTCAACCAAGGGTTTCCTTGCCTAAATAAATAAATAAAAATAAAAAATAAATAAAAAATTATAATCAAAAGGGCACATATTTTTTAAGTCTAGATTTTGGAGTCACTCCAACCCAGATTTATATGCTGACTCTGCTATTTAAAACTGATCTCAAGCAAGTTAACCTTTCTGAGACTTAAACTTTTAAATTGATAAGTGATAATAAAATCCTCACATGGTTGTGGTGAGGGTCATTTTAAAAGCTCCTGTCACAGTGACTGGCACACAGTATTAATCAACGAATGTTAATTCTCACTTTCCCCCTATGGGACACTTGAAATTTTCCTTTAAAAAAACTGATGAGTATATAACAGGCCCTTACAAAGATCCCTGCTCAAAGTCAAATCCATAAGGCCCCTGTTACCTTGACTGAGGCTGGTCCCTTCCAGTTCAAGTACTGCTCTAGCTCTGTGCCTTTGGCCCGGGCCCTGGAGGAGTCAAACACTTTCCTCCTGGAACTCTGCATCCTGCTACAGACATTGGAATGTCTCTCCAGCCTGAGCAAGAGAAACTTGCGTCCACAGTGGCTGCACTCGCCAAGTTCTGGCTCTTCAGTGGAACAGCTGGAACCTGAGGAGTCTGGTGCCTTAGACAAGCTAGAATTGCTGGTGGATCCCGGCAAAGCACTGCCTGGTGCTTCTGAAGGCTGAGAAAACTTCAACAGCCCTGCGACTTGGTCTCGAATTTTGTTATTGCTTGCCACTAGTCTTTCCCTTTTGAGCTTCTGTATTCCATAATCAGAGAACTGGAATGGACTAGAATTTTCTTGAGACCATCCCCAAGTTTCATCCTCTCCCCTGTCTCTACTGAAGACCTCCTTAGACTTGTATTCTGGGAAGAAGATAGGTTTGTACGTGGGGTTGCTATTACTTTTAACTCTCCTCCTGGGAAGTGTCATTCTCTGTAGCTCTCTTTTTTCATTTTCTTCAGCCTGTTCCTTTTCCTTCTGGATCCTTCTGAGTTCCTCCTCTGTCTTCTTGAGCTTTTCCCTCAGGAGGGTCTCTTTTCTTCGGATTTCCTCCTCTAAACTCTCCCCTGCAGCTTCTAGTCTTTGGATCTGCATCCACTCAGACCTGTTGGGCGTTACTATAGCCTTCTCCTTCTGCATAGCAACACCAATACCAATCACAGATGAATTCACCCAGTTCCTAGGACCAAAGCTGCTGTATGAAAACTCTCTTGGCTCAGGGGGTCGTGGAAAGGCATTCTGGTCCCCATCTGTGCCAGCCTCACCTGTACTATGAGACTTCCGATGGAATATGGGTTTCAGCGGATATGCCCGGTCCACTCCAAATTGCTTCTTTGTAAACGGAATGAATTCCTGGTTATTTGCTTTGGGATACCAGGATTGAGGGCCTGATGAATAAAACAAACCCTTTGCTTGGACCTGGAGATTACTACTTGGATCTTGTGGGCTGATTCCAGCACACTGGGGATAGAAGTAGCTCAGGGCTTTTGTGCAGGTATTCCATTCGGAGTGAGTGTACAGATTATCCAGCACCAGCTCTTTGTTGCTCAAATGCTTCTGCTGGGAATTGTTCCTCAGGTGCCCCATCGAGGACCGCTGGGAAGCGCCACCTTTTTCATAAGAGTCTTGCTTAGTTGAGTGGAGCTCTGGAGCATCTGTTTCATTATATGGGAACATAACACCCACAGGCAGGGATGGTGCCAACTGGAGACCAGCCATTCAGAGCCTGGACTGAAGCCTAGGGAAGATTTAAACGAGATATGTGAGAAGTTTGTCTGAGGTTCACCCTAGTTGCTAAAGTAAACTTTCTACATTTGTCCTACCCATTTTCCTTTGAACCTTTTAGGGACAGTGATACTGGGTCTGCCAGAGATCTTGTTCAATAAGCATTTGGTGAGTGCTTATTATGTCCTGGGACTGCTTATTAGGTCCTGAAGATAGAAAAACGAATGTGATACAAGCGTTCCTGCCACCTCCCTTTCCTTTATATCAGTACCAGCCTCTGCCATACAAAGTGATGCTCCTGCCATACACAGCATCCTCTGTAGTAGGTGGAAAGAGCTACCGGAAAGAGATATTGGATTGGAAGTCAGGTTTAAGCACAAGCAACTTCCCCTTACTGACTCCAGTTTGTTTACCCGTTAACTGAGGGGTGTGAGAAAACTGTAGCCTAGAGGTAAGTGTCAGGGATTCCCTCCTGCTGGAACCGTGCCTGACTCCAGGGAGCACAGAGTCTGCCCAGGACCTGCTACAGGTGCCTACCAAACCCTCACCCAAGGAGTACCTGCGGCGCAGAAGGAGGGAGGTCTGTAACCTGAGAAGAGGGGCCCACCTGATCTGGCTGCGGCGAGTTTGAGATCCGGAACGCGGAAGTCACGTTCTGTCCTGGAGGGTCAGCACGGGGACCCCCCCTTGGGGACTCCGCTTTTGGGGACGAGCCCTCGCTTTCCCGTCCATCGGGTCCCTAGGAGGTCGAGGTGCTGACCCCATGTCTCCCCGTACCTGAGGCTCTCGGGGACAACTCCTGCTCAGGGAAAACTCCAGGACTTAGTTTTTCCAACCAGACCCCCGCCCCCGCGACAAACAACTGCCGGTGGCGCAGGCGCTTTCAGCTGGCCCCAGTTATTCCCGTTGCCTGGAAACGGGAGCGCGTGCGCGCCCAGCCCCACCTTTCGCCGCGAGGTCGCCAGGGAAGCACGCACAGGCGCAGTCCGCGCGCTCTCCGGAGCAGCCCAGGGGCGGGTGCGGTCGGCCAGACGCTCGACCCAGTGTCCCGCCAACTCAGCTCCGTCCAGCTCTGCCCTTGGGGAACGGGGAGGCGGGCGGGGGCGACAGGAGTGGCTTCTCTAGGGTTCCATGACGGAACTTGTGTATTTTTTGAGAACGGTGACCCTGGACTCTGGGGTGTGCCCTTCTCTGGCAAAAGACGGAGTCCCTAGATGTGCCCTCGAGTCATTCTGCCCCAGGATTCCGATGTCCGCCCACTTAGCCGGAGTGATCCTGCTGATAGCCTTTCTTACCATGCTCGGCTGCTTTGTGCGGGCCCCAGGTATGGCTACATACTATCTCTGCGTGCTTTTCCAATAGTTTGGAGCTTGCGGTCAATTTTAGCAACTCGGCTAGGTTTTGCTACGCAGTATCTTTCTGGGTAGATTTGTAGCCAATCTAATTATTTTGATATAGTGTTTTACTCTCACGTAGTCTCTTCTGGCAGTCTCTTCTTAGGGCCCAAGAATGACTCAACCAAATGTAATGATAATAAAGTAAACTACCAAATCGAAAATAATCAGTATAACCTGATTTCAACAGAAAATGATACTCTATGGTTTGTTAACATCAGAAAGGTTTATTTGCCTTCATGCTTCAGTTCTTTTGTGTAAGCCGTTTGGCAACTGACTTTTTTTCCTGTAATTACTTAAAAGATTCATGCACATGGAAATAATATAGACAGCAGTAGTCGGTGTTAATGCTTCAACATGTCATATTACAACTTTTACATATTACAAAGAAATTCCTTGGTGAGCCCTCCAGGGTATTTTAAATTTTTATTTCTTGTTTTATTTTTTCCTAGTTTACACTTTACTGCCTTCTCTATAGTATATGCAGTTCCAGACAATTCCCACTCTTATTAAGGTTCCAATTATCTCAGCAATCGGGCATGCCTGTCATCAACTCTTACAGCTCCCTTCCAGTCTGGCAGAATTTCCTAGAGTGCCTCCCTCCATCTTGACTTCCTTCTTGTTTTTGAGGAAGAAGAATCTTTCTCTTTCTAGAAGTTCTCTTGAATTAGCCCCTTTACAGACCTTCCAGGAATGGACTCCATCACTTTACCCCTCCATCTTGTTAACTTCGAGTTGTATCTGGCTATATACTCATTAGTTTTAAAATATACTTAACTTCCCCCTGCAAAACAAATCCCATTTCCCTTGACCTGCTGCCTCTTATGGTAGGGTCCCATTTATTTCCCTTTTCTCCATGAGACTTCTTAGCAGAAAACTTTATGTTTGCTGCCTCCACTTCCACATCTCCCCCTCTGTCCAGTCCATTGTGATGTGGTTTCCACGCTTTCCACATTATATTTTTATTCATTCATTTTTAAAGCCTATGCACCTGGTACTCCTAGGTGGTCTCCCATCCAAGTACTAACTAGGCCTGACCCTACTTAGCTTCCGAGATCAGACGAGATCTGGTGTGTTCAGGTTGGCATGGCCATAGTGCACTTTCTTTAAATGCCAGGCTACCAGTGACCTTCCAATAACCAAAGACAAAAGCTGCTACCTCTTCAGCCTACTCATCTGACATTACTGATTTCTCACTTTCTTTGAACTCTCTTCTCACTCGCTCCTGTGCCTGCTTGGTTTCTTCTTTCATGTCCTTGCTATGTCTTCTTCCAGGCCTCTGGCATTTATGTCTTTTCCTTACTTGTCCCCCAAATTTAGGTATTCTTCAAAGCATTCTTATTTTTTCTATATATGCAGTTCCAGACATTCTCTTCCTTAGTGGTTACAACCAAAGGCTGAAGTTTCAGGTCTCACCTATGTTTAAATGATATCTAGCTTAGCTCTCTCTCTCTCAAATTTCCAACTGCCCATTTAGTTCCTCAGGAACCCCAAACTCAGTGTAACAGAAAACAAACTCATGATCATCTCCCAATTCCCCCCACCCACTTCTCCAGTGTTCCCTCTCATGCTGAAAACATCAGTCACCTATTCCTCCCTCTTTGTCACCCTTTCCCTCTAACTGGTCTGCAAGATTTGTTGAATTTACTCTACAGTGTCTCTTATATACAACTCCTCCGTTACCTTTCTACTGCCCTGGGTGAGTTCTTCCTCATTTCTCATTGGGACAGTATGCATCACTCTCCTAACTGCTATTCTTGCCTTCAACATTTACTCCTCAAGCCCATCCTTTGTGCTGCTGCCAGAATAATTATCCTAAATATGTCCGATCCTATTCCCCTACCCATGGCTTCTACTTTACCTATAGATAAAGTTGAAATGTGTGATTTAACATGATATTTTAACCTGCCAGACTAGATCCAGCCTACCTTTCCAGTCCTGCCTCCCCAGAGTATCCCAGTGAATCTCAACCCTGGCTATGCTTTAGCACTACCTAGACAGCAATTTCTGGGGGTGAGCCCTGAGTATTGGCATTTTTAAAAGCTTCCCGCAAGGTCCTAATGTGTAGCCAAGGTTAAGAACTCCCAGTCTAGCCACACCTGACTACTTGCACTTTCTTATCTTAGTACTACCTTACCCCAAGCTCCACATACTGGCAGGTGGTAGCACATAGCATTTATGAGAGTGGGCTCTGTACTCAGACTGCCTGCAATTAAATCTCAGCTCTATCACTGGTTGTAATTGTGTAACCTTAGATACTATGGTGTTTCCTCTAATGTTTTCCCAATGCTCTTAGAATGAATCTCTTTGCTCCTTTGTGCTCTCATATTTTCTGTTCTTGTTATAGCACAAGACTGGCTCATGAGCTCTCAATGGATGTTCATGGAATTTAATTAGCATGTTGTACATTGTATTGTCATTGTTTGCATGCATATTTGTCTCTTCCACTAAATAAAAAACTCTTTGAGGACAAAGATATATATCATTCATCTTTGTATATCCTGCAATGTTCCATACATAGTAGACAGTCAATAGGTTTTTAATTCTAGAGAAACTAGTTTTTTTAAAATGAATTTTAGAGGAAGAATAACAGCCAAGTATGCTCTTTCAGTATTTGAAGTATGATCTTCAAATACTGCCAAGCGTAATATTCAGTTCAGCTTCCTCTCCCAACCTCGACCCCCGAATTCAAATGCTTCTTCGTCTATGTCTTTCTTCCCACGAGAAAATGAGAAAAAGGGTGCGCTTGATGACTGCGAAAAGGTAAGGGCTGGGTCTATAGAGTTTGAGCTGACATTGTGGACTGATTCCCAACCGGAGGCTCGAGAGCCTCCCAGACAACCGAGTCCCGAAATCCCACCCTTTGGGCGGGCTTTGGGCTGAGCTCACCGTCTCTGATTGGTTAGCGGACATGATGGGCATGCGAAACAACGAAGGAGCAGCCGCGCTCTGAGCTTCCGGGCGCGGCGGTTACGCGACCCGGGAAACCGTTGGCGCGGTAGTCTCCAGCGGAGTCCGGGACTACTGAGAGGACCAGGTGGGTGAACCTGGGACGGGCCTGTGGCGTACCTATCAGTTCAGTTAGCCCTAAAATGTTAGTAGAACTGGATTCTGGCGGCTGAATGGAAGCTAGGAAGAGGAAGGGATGGAGAGGGAGTGGGACCGGTGTTGGGAGGTAATAGGATAAACAGGTAATTGTCCCAAAAGAGGGCTCTGTGGGCAGTTGCAACCCAAAGCTCACTTGCCCAGGTGTCTTCCTGTGACGTCACACACATGTCCACTGACGATACTCTGAAATTCAGGGACCTTAAGGTCAGGGAGAGGTCGCAGTGGTTAAGGATGGAGAAGTATGGGTGTATTGAAAGGACATGAAAAATGTCCTTTCTGCCACAGGATTGGGGGTCCTGGAATAGGGTAAAGAGTCCTGTTTACTTTTCTGCTTTCCTGGTTTGTGACAGGTGTGAGCATGAGCATGGCAGAAGGGGACACCCTGATATCAGTGGATTATGAAATTTTGGGGAAGGTGCAAGGAGTGTTTTTCCGCAAATACACTCAGGTATGTGGCCTTTAGGCTTTGGGAAGATGCCTAGATTATGTGCATGAGAACAAGAGACACGTTTTTGACAAATGTGCATTAGGAGAGGTTGGCTATTTGGTAGCTGCGTGGCAAAGAGGTGGTTTGTAGAGCAATGGGTAAAATACAATGTAAATGACAAATTCATCTGCTATTTGTCTTTTCTAACAGTGGTATATTAATCTTCCAAGGGGGATTAGAGGGCTTCACTAGTTCTCCCTTATTATGGCATCATCAAACCACAATTCTTGAAGGAAAGCTAACAAGGAGATGGCATTTAGATGAACTCATGACATTTGTGTAACTTATGTAATTGCTTCCAAAGAAGCTGCTGCATTTTCTTCAGACCTCTGCCACTCTTCAACCTTGCCCCATTCCCCTCCTTAATTCATTTCTACTCGTTTTGATTTTGAACGAAGAATTGCCTTTTCCAGCTGAAGCTTTTCTAATGAAAATACTTAATCCATTCCAAGATAAGTAATGATAACACTGAACATGGAGTCTGCTTTTCCTACTAGAGTACTAGGGAGTAATTGAGGGGATGAACAAACTTTTGACAGCCTCTACCTCTGCCTTAATGTCATTAATCTTCCCTCAACACTCACACACAAATGCAATCTCAATTTCCCTTCTGTCTTCTGTAGGGGAATATCGGGTTTTTGCCTGCCCAGTGTATCTCCAGCCTCAAAGATAAAGAATTCAGACTGCAGAACTTTCCAAGTGTCACATTCCTTGCACTGTGGTACTTAAAATTCAACCCAAATCTTCGAAATATGAATGTTAAATGTCACTTTTTCCCCAATTACTTGCAAATCATTTCCTCCTGTTTCACACTGATGTAAGAAGTACCTGCTGAAAAAAGGAATTGTTAAAAGTCATAGCAGAAGAGCTATGTTCCAGTTAGCTTTGCCACCAATTATGCAGGATAAGTTCCTGTGATATAGTAAATGGAAGTGACAGCTTCAAAGATTAATTAAAGTTGTTGAAGGAAAAGGACCAGATGATAATATAGCCCATTTTTCTCTACTGCTGTCCCCGCTCCCCAACTTAGAGACAATAACAGAATGGAAAATGCCATCTTTTTCTCCCTTAATTAGACTTGTAGCTTATTCTTATAATCATTTTCCTTAATTAGACTTGTAGCTTATTCTTATAATCTACTTATAATCATTTAAATATGTGTTCATTTTAACAATTGTTTTTGGTTGCATGTTGATATCATCTAGCCTCTTAATGAAATTCCATCACTCCTAGAATGAGTAATGAGAATACTCGAAGGGACTTTTTTTTAAGCTGGAATATAATTTACATCCCATAAAATTCACCTTTTTAAAATATATAGTTCAATGGGTTTTAGTATATTCACAAAGTCATGCACTACTTTCAAAACATTTCATCACCCCATAAGAAACTGCATACCCATTAGCACTCACCTCTTATCCTTCTGGCCCTGGTAGTCACTAACCCCATTTTTGTCTCTATGGATTTGTCTGTTCTGGACATTTAATGTAAGTAAAATCATACAATATGTGTCCTTTTGTATTTAGTGTCTTTCAGTTAACCTAATGTTTTCAAGGTTCATTCATATTGCAGCATATCAGTACTTCATTCCTTTTTATGGCTAAATATTCCATTGTATGGATATGTCACGTTTTATATATCCATCATCAATTGATGGACATTTAGGTTGTTTTCACTTTCTAGTTATTATGAATAATGATGCTGTGAACATTTATGCACTTGTTTTTATGCAGACATTGTTTTCAGTTCCCTTGGGTTATATATATCTAGGAGTAGATTGTTGTTAGGTCATGTGGTAAACTCTATAACTTTTTGAGAAACTGCAAAACTATTTTCCAAAGCAGCTGCATCATTTCACATTCCCACTAATGATATATGAGAATTCCAGTTTCTCCAGATCTTTGCCAACAATTGTTATTGTCTGTCTTTTTTATTAGAAACATCCTAGTGTGTGTGAAGTTTTATCTCATTGTGATTTTTTGTTTTGTTTTGAAGTATGAACAATTTTAAAAGGATTAAAGTCATACAAACACGTTCTCCGACCACAATGGACCTAAACTACACATCAGTAACAGAAAGATAACTGGAAAATCTCCAAATATGTGGAAATTATATATATTTTTTAAAATTGTAGTAAAATATACATAATGCAGAATTTATCATTTTAACCATTTAAGTATATTTACATTGTTGTGCTACTATCACCACTGTCCAGCCACAGAACTCTTTTCATCTTACAAAACTGAAACTCTGAAAACTTAAACTCTGAATAATTCCTAATTCCCTCCAGCCCCAGGCAATCACAGTTCTACTGTCTGTCTATAAATGTGACTACTCTAGGTACCTAATAAAATGGAATTATACAGTATTTGTCCTTCTGTGACTGCCTTATTTCACTAGCATAATGTCCTAGAGGACTATCCATGTTGTAGCATGTGTCTGAATTTCTTTCCTTTTTAAAGGTTAATAATATTCCAGTGTACATATTTATACCCTCATTGTGGTTTTGTTTGCCTTTGCCTAATGGCTAATGATGAACACCTTCTCATGTGCTTACTGGCACATGAAAAAAAGATATTGCATATCTCCTTTGGAGCAATGTCTATTCATATCCTTTGCCCATTTTTTAATTGAGTTATTTATCTTATTATTGAATTATAAGAATTTTTATATATTCTGAATACTAGTCCCTTATTACTTATAATATTTGCAAATATTTCTCCTATTCTGAGGATTTTCTTTTCACTTTCTTGATGAAAACTCTGAAGCCCAAAAGTTTTTAATATTGATGAAGTCAAATTTGTCTATTTTTTTCATTTGTTGCTTGTGTTTTTAGTGTTATATCTGAGAAACCATTGCCTAATCCAAAGTCGTGAAGGTTCATGCTTGTATTTTCTTCTAAAACTTTTTTCAAAGGCTTTTATAGTCTTTGGTCTAGGTTCAGTTAATTTTTTATGTGGTGTGAGGTGAGGAGTCCAGCTTTATGCTTTTGCATGTGGATATCCAGTTGTCCTAGCACTGTTTGTTGAAAAGATTATTATTTCCCCCATTTAATTGTCATAGCACTCTTGTCAAAAATCAATTGACCATAAATGTAAGGGTTTATTTCTGGACTCCAGTTTTGTTCCATTGATCTGTGTATCTGCCCTTATGCCAGTACCACACTGTCTTGATTACTGTAGCTTTGTAGTAAATTTTGAAATCAGGATATGTGAATCTTTCAACTTTGTTCTTTTTAAAGATTATTTTTAGATGTCCTGGGTCCCTTATGTTTCCATGTGAACTTTAGAATCAGTTTGTCAGTTTCTGCAAAGAAGGTGGATGGGATTTTGATAGAGATTGCATAGAATCTGCAGATCAACTTAGAGAGTATTGTCATCTTAATAATGTTTTCCAATCCGTGAACATGGGATGTCTTTTCATTTATTTAGATCTTCTTTCACTTCTTTCAACAGTGTTTTATATTTTTTTGTATAAGTCTTGCATTTCTTTTTAAAAATTTATTCTTAAGAATTTTATTTTCGATTCTGTTATAAATGGAATTGTTTCCTTAATTCCATTTTTGATTGTTCATTGCTAGTGTATAGAAACACAATTGACTTTTGTATATCGATCTTGTATCCTGTAACCATGTGAACTTGTTTTTTAGTTCTAGAGTAGAGATAGTTTTAGATTTCCTTTTCCACTCTGAATGCCTCTCTTTCTTTTTTCCTCCTGTGGCTGGAACCTCTAGTAAAATATTGAGTAGAAGTTGTGAGAGCAGATATCCTTGTCTTGCTCCTGATCGTAGAGCAAAAGCTTTTAGTCTTTCACCATTAGGTGTAATGTTAGCTGTAGATTTTTCACAGATGCCTTTTTTCAGGTTGAGCAAGGTCCCTTCTGTTTCTAGTTTGTTGAGGTTTTTATCATAAAAAGATGTTGGATTTTGTCAAAAGCTTTTTCTTCTTCTATTGAGATGATCATCTGGTTTCTGTTTTATTTATTAATGTGGTGTGTGTTGATTTTTGTATGTTGAATCAACCTCGCGTTGTGCAGCTAAGTCCCAGTTTTTTATAGTGTATAATCCTTTTTATATGTTGCTGGATTTGGTTCACTCATATTTTGTTGAGTTTTGCATCAGTATTCACAAGGGATATTCATCTGTAGTTTCCTTGTGATGTCTGTCTTTCTCTAGTTTTGATATGAGGGTAATACCGGCGTAATAGAATGATTTGGGAACAGTTTCTTTCTCCTCTGTTTTTTGGAAGCATTTGTGAAGAATTAGTGAAAAATTTTTCTTTAAACCTTTGGTAGAATTCACCTATGAAGCCATCTAGTCCTAGGCTTTTCTTTGTGGGAAGTTTTTGATTACTAATTCAATCTCTTTATTTGTGTAAATCTATTCAGATTTCCTGTTCTTGATTCAGTTTGTGTGGTTTGAGTCTTTCTAGGAATCCCATTCTCTCTTTTTATCTAAGTTATCTAATTTGTTGGCATACAATTGTTCATAGTAATCCTTATTATTTTTGTAAGGTTGATGGTAATGGTCCCTCTTTCATTTCTGATTGTAATAATTTGAGCTTTTTTTCTTATCAGTCTAGCTAAAAGTTTAACAGTTTTGTTGATCATTTTAAAGAACTTTTGGTTTTATCAATTTTCTCTTTTTCTCTTCTCTATTTTATTAACTCCTGCTCTAATCCATTATTTCCTTCTTTCTGCTTCGTTAGGTTTGGTTTACTCTTCTTTTTCTGGTTTCCTGGGGTAGAGTTTAGGTTATTGATTTGAGGGGATTTCCTTTTTAGATTGAGGCTAGAGTTGGTAATTATATTTTAAAAAATATTTCCAGAATATGATTATTAGGGAGAGTTAACTTTTTGAAATATTCTTAGGAAAAAATGCTGTTTACTTGTTTAGATAGTAAAAACTGAACATGAGTCAGCAACATTATGCTATCATTTAAAAAATGAGAACAGAATCAAGTGCACAAATAAAACGTGTAGGAAATTCCCATTCTCAGCACCTAAGTTGGGAGGGTCTTGTTCACTTTCAGTTCAAATAAATCACATTGCAATTTAAACATTTATTTGACTGTTACAGCCTCTTGCTCAAAACTCAACACCATCATTCTTACAGCTAGTTACCATATAAGGTAACTAAAACTAAGGCTAGCCAACCACCCTAGGTTAATTTGAAGCAAAAGAGTGCAATTGTTATACAAAGTAAGTTGATGTGTAGTCTTCCTCAAAATTTGTTCTCTGCATTCTTTTTTTTAATGCCATCTTCCCCACTTAATGCATGCTGTAGGTATCCCTTATTTTTCTTCATTCCTTTCTTCTGTGTCCCTTATACTGTTATTAATTTGACTGCAGTCTATTTTGCTCATTATGCATAATGGCTGTGCTTTGAACATAATGATTTGATGGATACTTCATTTCCTCATTAAACATGGTTTTGCTATGCATAACATTTTCTTTGGCCAACTCTAATAATTTCCCACATTTACTAGGTCACTACTCTGGCATGTTAACATACAGTCATGTCAACTCCATTTTCTTTTGTAATCCACTCCTTCTATTTAGATAGGTTACTTTAACGATAACTTTTGTAATATCCTTACTTGGACATTTTACAACAATAACATTACCTCTAAATATTGGTACCTTTCCAAATTTCCAGTGATTCCACAGTTTAATGATTTACAGGAAAGAACATTGGAAAGGCTAAGAAAAGAGCAGCTCTAATGATTAGATGGTCTTCATAAGTTTATTCAACTTTAAAGGATGTGATTATTTAGACAGAAGAAAAGAAAGTCAAGTGAAAATCTAATAGTTATGCAGTCTCATGAAAATTTCATATTCAGAAGTTGATCACCAGATGCTTTTTCCTTCACTAGGAGGATGACAGAGTGGGCTTTCAATGCAACATAAAGACCGTGATGCAACATAAAGACTGTCTCTACAAGTGAGAACAATGGAATGAGTTGCCCAGGAAATAGTGAAATAACTCTAATGATCTTTAAAGATGAAATGAACACTCATTCATCTGGATTTATTTAAGTGTGTCCCTGGTTAAAGACACAGAGAAGGAAGGATCAGATAACTTCATGCTTTTTCTATTTAATTTACCCAATAGATTCTTGATTAGGAGAAGGGAAAATGAGCAAGATGCAGCCCAGTATCCTAACAACAATTAGCCTAAGGAAATCATTTTGAAAGCATCTCATTTTGTCTGAAATATTTACTATTTAACCAAATTGACAAATCGTGAAAAGTTCTATGGTAGATGAAGGAAATGGAGTCAAGTGGCCAACACTTCATATTAAGATCAACAGTGAGATTCTTGCTGTTGTTCTGTTTTGACTGTTCTGGACAATATCAAATTAGTTTCAGTGGCTTGATTCTAGGTTAAGATTCTGGCAACAGATTGTATTCTTACTTTGTTTTGTTCAATCTCACTGGATTTCTCACTCTTGTTTTTTTTTCTTACCCTTAGGCTGAGGGTAAAAAGCTGGGATTGGTAGGCTGGGTCCAGAACACTGACCAGGGCACAGTGCAAGGACAGTTGCAAGGTCCCATCTCCAAAGTGCGTCATATGCAGGAATGGCTTGAGAAAAAAGGAAGTCCCAAATCGCACATCAACAGAGCAAACTTCAACAACGAGAAAGTCATCTTAAAGTTGGATTATTCAGATTTCCAAATTGTGAAATAATGACCTGAATTTAAAATTTCAAGATAAACTCAGTGGTTTTGTTTTATATTGTTAATAGAATTATTTTGTGTTCAACATTAGAAGAATTTGTCACTAAGTTATTTTAGTATCAGATACTTGAATATTACTGTGTATTATATGTATGATAGAAGGAAGGATTACAACTGTGCACAATTCTAATTAATAAAAACACATTAGAACCTGTGTAGGGTTCTTTGGTGAACTTCATTTTGGGCAAAATAAGAGGTATTTACCTAGTAAACATCTGTGGGAAGATAATTTTGAAGTAATTTAAAGAGGTCTGAAAGAAAAAGCAGTTACTTTGACTCATTTCTTTAAATGGTTTCCATAAAGTTTTCAGGAATTTGCAGACCTGATAAGAACAAATACCACAAGTTCAACTTGTTAGCTATTCGAATTATGTTTTGGACTAATGACTTTTAGTTTTCTGTAGTTTCTGCTGTCTTTCCTTTTTTCTAGGTAGGGAATTCACAAATAGCAATGTTATGGGCTAAATTATACCCCACGCCCCCAATCCATATGTTTAAGTCCTAATCCATAGTACCTCCAAATATGACTGTATTTGGAGATAGGGCCTTTAAAGAATTAAAATTAAATGAAGTCATTATGGTGCACCCTAATCCAATATGCCCCAGTGTCCTTATGAGAAGAGGAAATTTGGACACAGACATGGGCATGCACTGAGTAAACATGTGAAGACAAGGGAGAAGACAGCCATCTACAAGACAAGGAGGGAGTTCTCCGAAGAAAACCATGTGGACACCTTGATCTCTCTCAGACTTCTAGCCTCCATTCAGAACTGTTGTTGAAGCCACCCAGTCTGTGGTGTTTTGTTGTGCCAGTTCTGGCAAACTAATACAAGCAATAATCAGGATTGTGCTTCGTCAGCCCTAGAAATCTCCTGATGGGTTTGGTCAGCCATTAAGCAAGTATATATCAAATGCTTACTGAGTTTGACAAATTTGTCACAAATTCCAATTTTTAAAAATATAAGATTTCAAGGAAAATGAGCAAAGCAAAAACTGCTTAATGATGCCCAGAACACCTATTTTCAGTGTTTATTTAGAGTTCCACTCTCATTCTGTTAGAAAAGAAGCTGTGGTGGTATTGGGGAGCTACCAAAAAATGCAGTGAAAGGAGTCTGAGTGTCCTCAACTGTGAATTGAGTTGAACTAGATAGTTTCTCAGTCTTTTCAACTCAAATGCTATAATTTGATAGGATGAAAGGCTCTGGATTTATTCATCGAGTGCTTAACATAAGCCATGCACTGTTCTTGGCCATGAGGAAAGAGCAGCAAGCAAAATAGACAAAATCCCTGCCTTCATAGGCTTACATTCTACAGAGAAGAGACAAGCAAATAAAACATACTGAATTAAACGGTAGTACATGCAAAGGAGAAACCAGAAAGGGGGAAAGAAGAAACACAAAACAAAAGTAAAAAGTGCTAGGAACTTTTTCACAACATGCTTAAAGAGGATAAGATTGGGAATTCGGGGTACTAGTGTTAAAAGCCCTTGGGACTCAATGAGTGCGCATGCGCATTGAGGTGTCAGGGCGAAAGCGACTTGTCGGCGGTTCTCAGGAGCGCATGCTCGTGGGCTCGCGCGTTCACAAGCCTCGCGACCCAAGGAGCGCGCGGCCGGCGTCCGAGGCGGTTGGTATTGGGAGTCGATGAATCGCCGTTTAAGGTGACTTGGGGGAAAGCACGCGACGGAAGGATGGTTCCGGGAGCTCTTCTAACACCAGGAGGGTCTTGGTGACCGCTGCGGGCCAGCTTTCCGGACCCAGATGCGCAAGGGCCCCACGAGGCCTCGCGACCTCCCTTCACCGCGAGCGCCCCAGTCGGGGCTGGCCCCTGTTTAGGGTTGAGAGTCGGGGGAGGGGTCGGGGTGGAGCCAGAACTTGGCGGGGCCTGCGGCCACGGCCCTACCCGCCAAAGCTTTCGTAGCTCATGACCCAGACCTAATGGTCTAATTGGTCCCAGGAGCTATGGCCCTGAAACGACTGGGACGTAATCAGGAAATCGTTGAGTTGGGTAACAATCGAAATACATATTAAACGTTTACCTCTCATTTGGTGCTGGCTGCATTGTCTTAGAAATCGTCAGATCTGCAATTATAGCTCTGATTATCCTGGGTTTGGAAAACTGCCCCTACCACCTGCGAGAGGTCTAGCCTATGCTGCTCTCTCACCTATGAAGAAGGGAGGGGACTTTTAATCGCACTATAATCTTAACTTTTTTTACCTGTAAGAAAACTTCAAAGTCAAGTTCAGAGAGCCCCTTACCATCATTATTACTAAGGTAGTTTGTAGCCATTGTGAAAACCCCAAGAGTATTAATACAAAATAACAAGAACTTTCTGAAAACTTGTTATCAAAGTAAATACATTAACAAGATTTAAAAATCAAATGATTTTTAATGAACAGGAATTTTCCTACCTTATTCTTTCCCATTCCCAAAATCCTTCCCCAAAGGTAACTTACACTTAACTATAATAATAAGTTATTGATAATAATCTCAATGTCCACTTCTTGATACAAGTTGATTTTATTTCCTCCTATTCCGTCACCTTATTACAGTGTCTTAATACTTCAAGTCTTTTCTAAAAGTCATGGTTATTGTGTAATGTATAAATGTTATGAAAGCTTGGACTTTTTTGTGAATAATTTCTAGCTAATGTTTCTTAGCAGAATTTAGGCATCTGTTTTTGATGAAGTGATTAGAATTTCAAACACTGTCTTTACTGGTCAACTTCAAGTGTGATTATGATTTCACTTTAGGGCATGTGGGATTTAGAAGGGATCAGTGAAAATTATGAAATTATGAATACTGCTTTAGATGTTAAGTCCATTGGACCAAGCAAGAGCTGTGTGATCTGCCTAGAGATCAGAGCTATGATTTGTTTTGTTTTACAATGTGGTTTAATAAGAAATTTCATTTACCTCAAATGGTATTTCTTCATAATGCTTGAGAGAAATGGGTAATTCTGTGTAACTCTGAAGCTTTGATAGTGGGTGTGTGTTTTTTCCTCCCACAGGCAATTATTTCCAGTCAGGGAAGGAAAGCAGTGCCTGGCATTCTCACCAGCTTTCTACCTGCCATGATCAAGTGCTTGTCAGTTGAAGTACAAGCCAAATTGCGTTCTGGTTTGGCTATATGCTCTTTAGGACAATGTGTGGAGGAGCTCGCCCTCAACAGTATTGATGCTGAAGCAAAATGTGTGGCTGTCAGGGTGAATATGGAAACCTTCCAAGTTCAAGTGATAGACAATGGATTTGGGGTGGGGAGTGATGATGTAGACAAGATGGGAAATCGTTATTTTACTAGTAAATGCAGCTCCATGCAGGACTTGGAGAACCCAAGGTTTTATGGTTTCCGAGGGGAGGCCTTGGCCAGTATAGCTAACATGGCCAGTGCTGTGGAAATTTCATCCAAGAAAAACAGAACAATGAAAACTTTTGTGAAACTGTTTCAGAATGGAAAAGCCCTGAAAGCTTGTGAAGCTGATTTGACTAGACCAAGTGCTGGGACAACAGTAACAGTATATAACCTATTTTATCAGTTTCCTGTAAGGAGGAAATGCATGGATCCTCGACTGGAGTTTGAGAAGGTTAGGCAGAGGATAGATGCTCTCTCACTCATGCACCCTTCCATTTCTTTCTCTTTGAGAAATGATGTTTCTGGTTCCATGGTTCTTCAGCTTCCTAAAACAAAAGACGTTTGTTCCCGATTTTGCCAAATTTATGGACTAAGTAAGTCCCAAAAGTTAAGAGAAATAAATTTTAAGTATAAGAAATTTGAGCTTAGTGGCTATATCAGCTCTGAAGCACATTACAATAAGAATATGCAGTTTTTGTTTGTGAACAAAAGGCTAGTTTTGAAGACAAAGTTGCATAAACTCATTGACTTTTTATTAAGGAAAGAAAGTATTATATGCAAGCCAAAAAATGGCTCTGCCAGTGGGCAAATGAATTCAAGTCCTCGGCTTCGGTCTAACCCAGAACTCCATGGGATATATGTAATCAATATACAGTGCCAATTCTGTGAATATGATGTGTGCATGGAGCCAGCAAAAACTCTGATTGAGTTTCAGAACTGGGATACTGTTTTGGTTTGCATTCAGGAAGGAATAAAAATGTTTTTAAAGAAAGAAAAATTATTTGTGGAATTATCAGGTGAAGACATTAAGGAATTTAGTGAAGATAATGATTTTAGTTTATTTAGTACTACTCTGCAGAAGCATGAGTCCTCTGATGAGAAGTGTGACCAGGTCAGTTTCCAAGATGCATGTAATAATATTTTGGATTCCTATGAAATGTTTAATTTGCAATCAAAAGCTGTGAAAAGAAAAGCTATAGAAAACATAAACACACAGAATTCTAGGGATTCAGAAGCTATCAGAAAAAAGACAAATGATTCATTTTTGTATACTTATGAATCAGATGGCCCAGGCCATAGTAAAATGACAGAGTCATCTTTACAAAACAAAGCTAGCTCTTGCTCAGAACTAAGGATTTTAGAACAAGAGAGAGCTGAAGCATCAGGAGAAAATGAGAAACATAAAAAATCTTGCTTGGAACTTAACTCTTCAGAAAATCCATGTGGAACCAGTTCAGAAATGTTTGCAAGCCCTTTTCGGTTATTAGATCACTTTGAGGAGAGTGAAGAGGATCTAAAACTACAGAAAGCAAGTACTACTGTTGATGGCATGGCTGCCGACTTTCTGAAAAATAATAGAATTCAGAATCAGCTAGAGACACTTAAAGATGCTACTGAAATGGGAAGTCAACCTTTGCCATTTGAGACAACAATACTGAGAATACATGGTGATCAGAGAGAGGAAGAGAAAAAAAAAGAATCTAGCGATTCTGGAATAACAAATGTTTTTAGTTATGGACAAGTTAAATTATGTTCCACTGGCTTTATAACTCACGTGGTACAAAGTGAGCAAACAAAATCAACTGAAATGGAACTCTTAATTAAAAATTGTGTTCGACCTGGTCCTGTGAGTGCCAAAGAAACATTTGGAAAAAGAATATGCCATTCAGTTGAGACTCCAGACATCAAAGATTTAACCAGCACTTTATGTAAAGAATTTACTCAACTTCCCAATGAAAAATTGTGCAGAACAAATATAAGTTATGAGCTAGAGAACAAACTTACAGCAACTTACAAAAATTTTACTATTTTTCAGGATGGTAGTAAAAAGTCACACACAGATTGCTTATTACCTGACACATCCTCTTTCTCTTGGTGTAGGCATGTTTCAAATGGTGGTAAGAGAACAGATAAGTTGATTGGTTCCTCCAGACCCATAACCTATAAGAAGCTAAACTTAAGTTCACAACTAGGATCTTTAGAGAAGTTTAAGAGGCAATATGGGAAGGTTAAAAATCCTCTGAATACGGAAGAGGAGGAAAATAATTTTGAAATCACTACCAATCTCAGTCTTCAAGTTGAACCTGACATTCCACAGAGAGACAAAAACCACTTAGACAACTCTAGTATTTGTAAGATCACTACTATGAAACATAATGATTCAAATAGTTGTCAACCAGTAAGTCACATCCTTCATTCAGAAAAGTTTCCATTCTCCAAGGAAGAAGACTATTTAGAACAACAGATGCCTTGCTTAAGAGAAAGTCCTATAACTCTAAAGGAGTTACCACATTTTAACAGAAAACCTTTGGCTGTGGAGAAGTCATCCGAATCACTAGCCTCTAAATTATCCAGAATGAAAGGTTCTGAAAGAGAGACTCAAACAGTGGAGACGGGTCATTTTATTGGATTTCCACAATCAGATTCCAGTAGGAAGGACAGTGACTTGTGCAGTGGGTTATCACTAGATTCTTGTAAGTTACTTAAAAATGAGCATAAAAAAACAGAGACTGTCATCATCCCAATGTCAGACTCTGTCACACAGGATAATTCCTTCAATAAAGATAGCGAAATATATCCTAAGAACACTATAACAGAGAACCCTGTGATACCAGAAACTCTTTTGGTATTACCCTATAATAATTCTCCAGTTACCAATAAAGACTCAGATGTTCGTACAGCTTCAGAACAAGAGATAGGAAGTCTTAACTCTCCCAGTAGAATGTTAATGAGTCACATAGACGATTCCACAGTCAACCCAAATGGAACTTGTGTTCAGAGTGAGGAATCTATAGCAAGAACTTGTTCTGCAGATGAAGAGTCAAACACATGTTCTCTGGATTGGCAGCAGCATTTTGATGTAGCCTTGGGAAGAATGGTTTACATCAACAAAATAACTGGACTTAGCACATTTATTGCTCCTACTGAGGACGTTCGAGCAGCTTGTACTAAGGACCTGACAACTGTGGCTGTGGATGTCATACTTGAGAATGGTAAGTATATAGTGTTCACTGACATGAAATGTTTTTGAAGATGGGAATAATGGCCAGGTAGCAAGATAATAATTATTCAAAGACATTATCTCAGCAGATTGAACATTTTGAAGTTTAATTATAAAATGTGTTTTATGGTATATGAAGATTCTCTGGGTCTAATTCTATTTAAATCTAAAAATACAATGAATGACTTATAGACTGGAACTGTACATATATTTGGCTATAGGTATGTGTACATGTGAGAGGGTGAGAGCTTTTAATGAAATGGTGCAATTGTAGTTGAGAAAATCCACAGTGCTTCCCTATCTTGCTTTCCCCCCTCTCCCAAACACATAGCTCTCCTAGAAATTTGTCTTTAAAGGCACCTGCAATGCCAGTGTAGTATTTTTCTGGAAGTTGCTTTCTGCAGCTCCCAGATAAAGGGCTAGAATGATCCTTTATTCATCTTAAGTTTCTCAGTAAAATCTATGGCTCTGCACCACTATATATGTTTTTGTTTTTGTTTTTTTAGAAAATAGGACTTGAGCATAAATTTTTTTGAATATAGGTTAAATATATACTTTCATAATTATATTTTTCAAATGTACATTATTATAATACACATGCTAATCCACTTGATATGTTTATTGTATAAGTAGCTGTTATTCAGGAAGACAATAATGTGGCTTTTAGATCATACCACAAGGCTACATCAGAGCCTAGACTAGGACTCTGAGTACTCAGTTCTCAGTCAGCATTAAAAGTGACATTGTTTGGGCACAGTGTTTAGAGCCAGATGTTGGGAGATGGTAAAGCTGATTTCCATCTGGCTATAATCTTGGTTTTACATCAAGAGGATAAACATTAAATGCACATCCATATTAAATGTCTTAAATGTTGCAAAAGATTGTAAATTATATGAATGTAATTAAAAATTAACATAATTTCTCTTTAGGATTAGTAGCTCTAGCAGGAGGCCCTGATTTATTTAAGATTAGATAAGACCTTTATTTTTTAATAGTTTTCAATTTTTTTCCTTGTGAAAAGAAAATCTCTCAAGTAACTTTTAAAGTATTAAATAGGGGAAAACCCTTTTCTTTCAATATGCTCATGAGACTATCAGGTTGCTCCTAAAGACACATGTGTTTTTTAATCTATTTAGTTTTATGTCCTGATTTATACTGAATGCTTATCATAGATAAATCTGAGGAACTGACACCTCATCTTCCTGCAATGCAACTTCTTCTGATACTGTGATAAAAATAACTGGATCACATTAAACTGAGATGGCTGCTGCTAAACAGAGAGGGGGAATCTTGGCTGCCATACTCAACATAAACATCTGTTCCTGTTAAATAAATCTAGATGTTTAAAAAACACTTCAGTCTTTCTGGATTAGCAAGTCTTGTAATGAACTTGTGAGGGTCATGTTAACTCAGAGTTTTATAATGAAAAATAAAGTATTTTGGGTATAGAAACAAGTTCCATGACAGGATAGCTCCTAAGCACCCTCCATTCACATGGAATGTTACCTTTCTGGAAATGGCTATTGTATAGCAGGACGTTAGGACATAAAAACATTACATAAAATGAATTGTTAACAGGTAAATTTAATTGTGCAGAACAGAAGATATATAAAAAATAATTTTAAAGAGTTGTGTCAAGTTTCCAAGCCCTGGCAAATATTTTTCTTTAAAATGTCTTTAACTCTGTCCTTTCTGTTACCAGTGATGCAACCTTATTTCACCTCTTACTTTAATTTTTTTCGTTTTACATTAATCTCTTTCCAGTTTTTGTCCAACAGATTTACCTTTTTGAAGGGATAGTTTCATCATATTTTGCCCCTGTTCAAAAACTGTCAAATTCAGCATTATTTCTAAAACTCAAACCTGATGATCCTTCAGAAAGGAGGGTAGAATTTGGGCCAGATCTCACTGGACTTTGGAGTTTAAATTCAGAACATTGTTTCATTCATCTATTCGTTTATTCATTTATTAATTATTCACATTGTGCTAGGTGCTGCCACATTGCAGATTAATTGACTTTGTTTTCAGGAGTTCATAGTCTATTAGGGAAGATAGCTATCTAAATATAATTACAATATGATGAGATAAATGTTATCATAGACAGATATATTGGGTATAAGAGACATATTAATTGAGGACTTGTGAAGACTGCACCTAATAGGAATGACAATTAAGTACCACTATATGTCCAAAACAGGATTTCTCAACTGTGGCACTATTGACATTTTTGACTAGATAAGTCTTTGTCGTAGGGATTGTCCTATACATTGTAGGATATTAGCAGCATCCCTACCCTCTATATCTGCTAGATGCCAGTAGCACCCCTCACCTGATTTATGACAACCAAAAAGTCTCAACATATTGCCAAATGTCCCCCATGCAAAATTGTCCTCATTGAGAATCAGTGATCTATTTTAGGTCCTCTTTCTGTCTGATATAGATGGATAATGGGACTAAGCATTAACGAAGATTCCTTAGCAGAATAATTTCATTAAAGAATTTTGACTCAAATCTAGTGTTTAGTAGTCTGTCTTATGTCATGATTCAGTTTGTGCAGAGATTTTATGTAACTTAATTTTTATTAGTTTACATTTTGAGTTCAAGTGTTTAGGTTTTACTTTTTTATATTTAGGATCTCAGTACAGATGTCATCCTTTTAGAAGCGACCTTGTTCTTCCTTTCCTTCCCAGAGCTCAGGAAGAGAGGACTATGATGAGACAGAATAACAGAGGTAGGAGCAATAACAGAGATTGCCAGAACACCTAGTACATACTGTACCACCTAACAAAAAGAAAAAAAAGCAGGGTTGTATTATTAAGCTTGATCAGTGCCAGCTGTGTCTTACTGGAACTAGGAATTCCCCACAGTCCTATTTAACAGCAGAACTAAGAAATTCAGTGCCTGCATTTAGATCAGAAATTACTTTTCCAGACTTGAGGTCAATACTGGGTGATTATTAATGCACAATCTGTGGTGTCTTGTGATTGAGAAAATGTTTATTATTTTTAAAGATTGAAGTACTCCATATTGCAGTAGTTTTATGTAAGCAAAACTCTTCAACAAAAGCTACAGACATTTATTATTTTTCTTTTCTTTGTTTCTAAAAATAGATAAAGGTATATTTTTTACTAAAGGAAGTGAGGCTACTGATTTGAACCAGTTACTTCTGGACTTGTATTCTGAAATATCTCTTGAAAACAGTTTAGAGAAAAAGCTATAATACCAGAAGATACAGTCATCAACTCTAGTTTAAAAGTAACAGATGAAAACAATTTAGAGATACCGCAAACACTGAACATTTGTAGAATATTGGAATATTGGAACAGTGTGTCTGATCTTTGCTCTTGAGGCTGCACCATACCAAATATGAGATGCCATTCACCTTTTTCCCTGAGGTTCTTGATGCCACTTTGCTTCTCCCCTTTTGCACTAGATAGTGCGGATGATGCTGTTGGTAGGGAATCGCTTCAGTCTTTGTTCTCAGAATGGGACAATCCAGTATTTGCACGTTATCCAGAGGTGGGTCTGCAACAATTATTCTTTGCTTGTTATTTTAAATTTTGAATTTCATTTAAGTTGGGTATAGGCATGACTGATTATACTAATTTGTAATTATGAATGGAAAATGCATGTTTCCAAATAAATCATTTGGAAATTAATGTTTAATGTAGAGAGAGGGACTCAGAATTCATAACATTTTGGGAGCTCTGCTTTAATTTTCGATTAAACATGTAATCAGTGTATGAATAATGAATGTGTTTACCTCTCTTAAAAACTCTGACTTGTAGCTTTGGCAAAGTCCTTAGGGTGGTGATTATAAAAACTGCTATCATTAGATAAAGTAGTGAATCTTCTTTTGGAGGAACATTTCATCATTGGACCTGAGAGTATGTTCTCTCCTCAGTGGGTTAGCATAGAATGTACTTTGTTGTAATGAGGGTGTAGAATAGATGAACATTTAATTATTGATTTTTCAGTCGAGATGTCTTTAAGGACTTGATCATGGAGCCTAAACAAATTGTTATTCTGAAACAGTATTGGTTTTTGTCAGTAGTCTTGTTCATAAACAAAAATTATTGAAAAATAATAATTCATAGAGTCCTTTGAATTTCTGTAAGTTCTCTGAATTCAGCCCACCTCTAGAAGGTTTTATGAAAATGAATGTTTTTAAAGCACTTTGAGATTTTTGGTAAAAGAGTTCTGCAGACATAAGTTTTAATTTAAAACGATATTGGTGCCGGTCTTTCTAGGTTGCTGTCGATGTAAGCAGTGGTCAGGCGGAGAGCCTAGCAGTTAAAATTCACAACATCTTGTATCCTTATCGTTTCACCAAAGAGATGATTCATTCGATGCAGGTAAAAGAGTAACTTGGAAATCTCATAATATATATGTAAGTTCTAAGCTAGACTCTTTTGAAATTGGATTTATTTAATGATATAGACCACCCTGGTCAAGGCACATGTGTTTTTTAAAAAATCTTACTGGAACTTTATCATCAGAAGAAAAAGCAAAGGACTAATTATATAAATTACAAAGAAAAAAAATGTCCTTAGTAGTGCGAGCAGGTTTGGAGGGATGAATTATGGATTCAGGCTCAGTTTCAGGGGTTACATATTGACTTTATATTTTGACAACAATTTATAAATCAACTAAGTACTGTAGAGACATTGTCCTTAAATGTGCAACAGTACCCCTTTTTAAGTGACCCTCTGTTGTGTGAGGCTACATGTGACATGGCTTGGGAGACCCTAGATTGAGGAGTTCCATTAACAAAAGGGACCTTCTGTCTCCTTGTTTTCAGTATGGAAACAAATTAGGAGGTTAGACAGCTCTAGGTAAACTAACCTGGCATTGACCTGATACCAGAGCAAACACTTGATCCAGAAATAGACCTGGGGAGATGGGTACCTTTATCAGTACCAGGACAGAGAGGAATCACCATGGCCTAAAATTACAGGTGGCTTTTAATTTACTGCTTTAATGGACTAGCTCTATTCATTAGCAGTCTCGGGTCGTATTAGTAATTCTCTGGTCATATTACCCATTAATAAGCATCATTGTGTTGGGAACATTTCAGGTCAACTCTAAAGTTTTATTAGCATATCCCTTTTAGATTCCTCAGTCTGTGTTCGTTTTATGTCTTCTGATCACTCTACTTGCCCCTTCTTTTATCCTTCCTAATAACCCCCTCAAGTTCATCAGCACCTACCTCAGTCTGAGATGTGAATGTTACAATGCAACAACTCTAAATTAAGTACAGTTTTATCTCTTTCTATACAGATAAGCCTTTGCTAATTTTTATTTAGTGTTGTGCCACTTATTTCAATGTATGGCAGGTTCTTCAGCAAGTGGATAACAAATTTATTGCCTGTTTAATGAGCACCAAGACCGAAGAGAATGGTGAGGCAGGTAAGAATGGAGTTTAGTCTTGACTAATAATCAGCTGTTCTTCTGATAGCCTCCTTTTAAGGTTATTTTTTTTATACGATAAAAAATAAAACCAATCTAAATTAATATTATGAAATGATAGTTTTAAAGTACATTTAGTTTTATATACATACACATAGACATGCATATATAAGACACATGTTAGGTTAACCAAGAGTTAAGTACACTTTCTTGGTGAGCTGCTTTAATAAAACAATAATAGTTTGTAAATAATATTAACTCATTCAGCAAATATCAAGTGCCTTTGTACTCCTGGGATTGTATTAGGCTCTAGGGATCTAATGATGGGAAAAAATATACATGGAGGAGAAACAGATAATTGCACAAATATTAAAATTTTAACTCTAATTAGTGTTTTAGCAGGGAGAAATAAGATGCCATAATAATCTGTCTGTATTGGAAGATTTGATTATTCAGAGATGGTTTTCTTGGTAAAGTGAGATCTGAAGTATGAGTATGATTTAACTAGGGAGAGGTCAAAGAGAAAGAGGAGTATTCTTGGCAGAGAGAGTAACATATATAGTAGAAAGCTTTTTGTTTTTTTATTGTTTTCTGATGCTTTTGCAGTGGCACATGTTATATCATATTTGCATTTTGAAAATATCGCTCTGGTTGCAGTGTGGAGAATGGATTGGGTATGGGAGTGCAATCACAGTAACTGCAGAGACTGTTAGGAGGATACTGCAATATATAAGAAATGCTAGTTAGCTGGGACAAAGGGGGACTAGAGAGAAGTGAATGCATCAGAAAATATTTAGGAGATAAAGTCAACAGGTTTTGGAGATGGATTGGATATAGGGAAGATATATCAAAGATGACTCCTAGTTTTCTGACTTCCATAACTGAGTAGTTGATGGTGCAGGAACAGATTGGAGGACAAGCAGGCAGAAGGGTGAAAATCATGAGTTCAGTCTGAAATCTCTTTGAAATTTTCAAGAAGAGATGTTAACAATGTGGTTGCTGGGACTAGAGAAGCATTCTGACATGGAGACATTCATCTGAATTGTCAGCATAAAGTTGGTCATTGAAGTCATGAGTGTAACTTTTACCTAGGAAGAGTGAAGAGTGAGGACGAGAGAGATTCTTAATCTAGAATAATTCTCAACATTTAACAGCTAGTTAGAAAAGGGTGAACCAGCAAAAGAGGTTGTGAAGAAACTGCTAGAGAAATAAGAAAACAGACAAAGGTGGTGTTGCAAAGCCAAGACTTCATATAAATGCTGCCAAGAGGTTAAGTCAGATGAGGACCAAAAATATCCGTTCAATTTTATGACAGTGAAGGTTGGGAATGTCAGGTGAGAGCTGTTTCAGAGAAGAGCTAGGGGAAGATGCTGACAGACCACAAGGAAAGACTCAGAAATCTGTTACATGGAATAGAGGGCCTGAAAGAGGGTGAGGGAGAGAGGACTTATTTTCTTCTTTTTCTTTAAACTGAGAGATTCTTGAGCACATTTACAGTGCTTGATACTGTAAGGTTCCAGAAAAGGCCTGAGTGGCTGAGAGCCCTGAGCACCAGTGGAGCAGTTGGCTCTAGATAAGTAGACCTGCAGGCAAGTGCTTCTAAAGTTTGAAAGCAGTTAATTTTGTATTTCAAAATATTCCTTTTTGGCTTGTTTACAATGTAGATTTATCAAATAAATATCATAATAGATCACAGGCCAATTAACAAAAAGTTCTGTCATAATTATCATAAATATGATATTAGTGAAGGTCAAGTTATAGTAGTTAACCGTTTCTAGAAAATGAATAGATTTTTTTCTAAAGTTTTGATTACCTGGAATTGTTTGTTAAAATACTTTATGTAGCCATAAAGTCTGCATATGTTCAAAGAAGTGAAAGGGACTTATTTAAATTTCTCTTGAGATTCTATATTATTGTATTGGCTAGCTGCCACCAAAGAATTGGCTTCGATAAATACATTTTCCTAAATCAAAATGTGTTTTTGCTGTCACTCATTAATACCAAAAGCAACATTCCTATAATTGACTTACTTTTATTTTAATATCTGCGTATACTTTTGTAATGGACAAATATATTATTATTTGAAGTTATAGTGAAATTAATGCCATAAATTGGCATTTTTTTATTTCATGTTTCCAACTACAATAAAATACAGTTCAGTTATGATATCCTAAGGAATAAGGATTCATTCATTTATTCTGTAAAAAATTATTAAGTGCCTATTATGTGCCCATTGCTATTACATATGCTGGGAATATAACAGACAAAAATCCTTTCCGTTATGAAACTTCTGTTGTGTTGGAATAGTAAAAATACAACTTTTAACATTAGTAAATTACCTTTATATATCCTGCTTCATACATGGAATGGAAAATGTCATGAATACTATGTAGACTATAAACCATTTCTCTAGAGTCAGATACAGGATTTGATTTTTTAGGGTTACCGATTCTTGATAACTCACATTGGCTCTAATTTTAAATTCGAGGTTACTCCTTCACAATTTATTATTTATTCCATTGTCTTGCCCAATAGAGGACGTTCAGTCATCACAACCAGCTGCAACTCCTCCTATCCTCAAAGGAGTTTAAAATTCAACATTTTGGGGCCTGTTTCTGTGGTTGGATTTATTGTCAGAAAAATTTTCTTTTTTTCTTTAAGTCTTAAGCTCTCATGCCATAATTTTGATCAAATTCAAGAGGAGAACTTCTATTTCAATATAATCAATACCAATAAACCTCAACCCTTTGGCCAAAAGTACTAAAATTACAAGCTAAAAAGACATAGTAATATAATTGAGGATCAGTCCTTTATCAATGAGAAAAAGATTTCCCTGTAGTTTTAGCTTTTTGGGTCAGGATATTCTTCTTCCTCTCTTGCATTTAAGAGTCTAAAGCCTTGCTACTCAAAGCTGTAAATAGCATCGTCACCTGGGAGTTTGTTAGAATTACAGAATCTTATGTCCCACTTCTAACCTACAGAATCAGAATCTGCATTTTAATAAGGTCCCCAGGTGATTTGTATGCCCATCAAAGTTTGAGAAGCCTGAGTCTAAGCAAGGCAAACTATGGCTGGTGGGCCAGATCCAGCCATCACCTGCTTTTGTACAGCCAGATAAGAATTGTTTTTACATTATTAAATAGTTATTAAAAAAAAAAAAAGCAAAAGATGAATAATATTGCTTGACACATAAAAATTATATGAAATTAATATTTCAGTGTCTATAAATAAAGTTTTATTGGAACATAGCTATAATATTCACATATTGTCTATAGCTGCTTTGGTTCAAAATGAATAGTTGAATAGTTGTGACAGAAACATGTGTCTTGAAAGCCTAAAATAAATGCTGTCTGGCCCTTCACAGAAAAAATTTCCTCACCTCTGATCTAAAGTGTAGTAGAATTACATTCTTCATGGGTTCCAGAGTAGTTTGAAAATCAGGGTCAGCTGATTATAATAATGTATGTTTGATGATCCTTCACTGTATCAAATTTGAATTAATGAAAATCAGTAAAGATTAAGAATATAGGGCATTAACCTTGTTTTATAAATGAAATACTATTAGAGTTTTTTATCAGAAATAAATTTGTTACAGTTCTCCCCATAATTTCAATTTTTTAGGAAATAAAAATACAATTGTTACTACTCAGTATGTTTCTTATGCTCATGTTGTTAAATAGTTTGAATTAACCTTTTTTCTCTCTCAGCACAACATGATTATTTTTCATCTTGATCTGAGAATTTGAAACTCCAGTAATTCTTGCTAATCTTCTAGGTGGAAACTTGCTGGTCTTGGTGGATCAACACGCTGCACATGAGCGTGTCCGTTTGGAGCAGCTTATCATTGGTAAGGATCTATTTGGGACTAGAAAAGCTTTGAGACTCCCCAGCAGAATTAGTATACCTGAAAGAGTTTTTCTGTGACTGTTGTGAGGAAAGATGAATTATATGTTTAAAAATTTAAGCTGAAGTCTTTTTTTTATAATTTGGCTTCTTTTATAACCAAAAGAATGTAGTAGTTCACTTTACTAATTCCAACATGTGGATCTTACTTACATTGTTACAGACATATTTGCTGCATATTTATCATCAATCCTAAAGATTAGATATTTAGGGATTAGGCTACTTATGACATCCAGCACAAATGTCCCCTCCCCAATATGATCTTGGCATACTTTCTTCACAGTTCATCAGGCAGAGACCACCAGTAAAAAAATAAGTTTTATTTTAAGTTTTAATTTGTGTTTGAATAGGTAGTATATTCAAATAGGTTCAAGTCTGAAAGGTATAAAAGGGAATATGATAAAGTCTTTCTACCCGTGCCCTCATCCCATCTAGTTTCTCTTTCCAGAGGCAACCAGTATCACTAATTTGTTATGTACCCTTCCAAAGTCAACATGTGCTTGTTAATCTTTGCTACCCTTTTGTCTCATCATGAGGCAGTGTGTTCCCCAAGAGCTAAAATACCAGGAAAACCTTTACTTCTGTGGTCAAATAATGAAAGATCTTCATGTCAAAGAGGTAGGGACCTAGGGAGATATTTCATGGACTAGAATGACAGTGATGTTATTTTCTTTTCGCTTTTCCTTATAAAATGAAAACCTAATTATTGGAAAAGATATAGTCAACACAGTGTTGGAAAAACTTATTTGCTGTAGGCCCTGCCCTGGACCATTTGAGAATAGTACTACTGACTAAATCTCAGAGAATGGAAACCCTTCTGCAAAACTGGGGAAGCCTCCTTGAGCCAATGGACTGTATAGTAAACCCATTTTATTTCCTCAGTAATACACATTATTCACCTCTGTTATTAAAACCACATTTATTGACTACAGGAACATTGCATTGTTCATTTGAATGTAAGATGTAAGTCATATTTCTTATTTTGGAAAATACTGCTAAAATGAATAAACAGACTGGATATTTACTAGTTTGAATTTAATAATGAAATTCAAAGCCTAAAACTGAACGTTGAACACACGGCTAAGCACTAAAGTAATTACATGGCTATGCCTTATCATGCTTCATTTTTATCTGAATCTAGAAGACTTCACTTCTTACTCTTAACCCATTCATCTTTCTCCTAATAGATTCCTATGAGAAGCAACAGCCACAAGGCTCAGGTCGGAAAAAATTACTGTCTTCCACTATAAGTCCTCCACTAGAGATAACAGTGACAGAGGAACAAAGGAGACTCTTATGGTTAGTACCACCATGAGAATGTGATGTTGATAGCATAAATTCTCGCAATAATTCTGTGAAGTATAAGCATAACTATTGTCTTTTTTTTCACATGAGTCACTTGAGACCAAGAGAGGTTACGTGACTCGTTCAAGGTCTTAACAACTATTAAGTGATGGAGCAGACACTCAGACACAGGTCTTCTGACTCCAAATGCTGTTCTTTCCACTATATCACAGCTGTTGAGTGTAGGATAGCATTTCCCTGATAATTTTTTCCAGCAGTAGGCTTAGAAGAGTCTTACCATTTCTTGGAACAGTTAGTGTTTATACTGTGCTGTTTCAGAAAGCAAAGTTACAGTAGTAATTGCTTCCATTCTGCTTTGCCTTGGTGCATTCTAGATTCTTAATTTTCATTATTATAATACTGGGAAGAAAGGAAAACACTGGGACACAGGAAGGGGCAGGTCATATAGCGAATCACAAAGTAGGACATCTTCCCACTTTTAGGCAGCACAAATTATTGGAAATATAAAAGAGAACTGTCTCTGAATTTATTTCAGGTTTGGGTATTTGCCACTGCCAATAAATCTTTTTCCCTAGGGCATAATTTATATTAGGGGCAGATCCATTTATTTACATCCCGTTAATCAGGACTTCTCAGTTCCTGGGGCTGTTAATTACCTCCCTGCGATAGTGCTGATTCAAAACACCGTTGGCCCTTTTATTTGTGCCAAACTCCATCAAGTTGCAAGCAAAAGTTAGCAATTCCTCGGTTAAAAATGAAAACTTAGGAACAAGACTGAGAAACAAATTGATTCTCTCAATGGAAAAGAGAAAAAAATGTTACTGTAATTCAGAAAGGAAATTTGATAATAAAATCCTAAACAAACACCCTTAAGTGTGAGAAAAACACTATATAATTTATAAAGCTTGTGGCAGCTTTTGAGAAACTACCAGATATTTGTAACTAGTACTGAAATGTGAATGAAGTAATACTTTTACATTTGAGATTGTAATACTTTTACATTTAAGGTTATCTCTTTAGGTGTTACCACAAAAATCTGGAAGATCTGGGCCTTGGAATTATATTTCCAGATACTAGTGATTCTTTGGTCCTTGTAGGAAAAGTACCACTCTGTTTTGTAGAAAGAGAAGCCAATGAAGTTCGAAGAGGACGATCTACTGTGGCCAAGAGTATTGTGGAGGTAAGACAGAGCTGCAGCCGTTGAAATTGTTGAGTGATAGTAACCTATTTTATTTAGAAACTCCCTATATTCATCTTTTATTCAATAAGAATTTATGAAATAGGGTGGCTCCATAGAGTAGCGGTTAGCATATCTGCTTTACACACAGAAGGTCCTGGGTTCGCACCCCAAGTGGAGCCACGGACCATACCTCGGGTGCGCCTGGCCCCGGGTACACCTGGCCCCGGGTGCACACCGCAAGTGTGTGGAGGAGATGCCCCACCTTCAGAGATCCAGTTCTTAAGGAGAAATGGCAACATCCATAGGTCAGGGGTGGAAGTATTGTGTGTGGTGGGGGCGGGGGGAGGATAAAAGAGGGGGAAAAAAAGAATTTATGAAATACCTGCTGGGTACCAGGTACTAGAGAGTCAAAGATGAATTAGCTCAAAGTGAGGGAGAAGGACATTTAAATAATTATAGAATAATGAAATTTGGGCAGAAGTATGTTCAAAAGTGCTATGGAACTACAGAATGATTACTGTGCCCAGGAGGATGGAGGTTAAAGAAACTGTCATAGAAAAGCTGTTTTTTGTTTTATTTTGTTTTGTCTTTTGGAAAAGTCTTGTAAAACAGCAGGAGCTTACCAAGTACAGAAGAGGGGAGGAGAGCATTGTAGACAGAGCAACAGATATTAGAGACTTGATGCAGATCCTATGTTTAGGGAACTACTAATATATATGGGTCAAATTAAGATATATATGGGGTAGTGGTGGAACCAGATGAGGCTAGATAGGTTGTTAAGACCAAATTATAAAGGGATTTAGCATATTCTGCAAAGTAGCTTGCATTTCATCCTACAGGCTGCCAATGAGGAAGAGTGAGATACATTTTAGCACTGCATTTTAAATATGACCACAGGTATATGTTTTGGTAAAGGTCTGGAAAGCTGCTGCTGGGATGTGGATTTGGGGGTGTTGAAGAGGACCATTATTTTTCACTTATGTGTTTCATTTTTTTTACATAACAAACACAATTCATCTTTGTTACCTTTTCTTTCATCCTTTCCTGTTTTCTATTAGCATTTTCTTCATTTCTTTTTTTCCTCTAACGGTTTAGAAGTTGAATTTTAGCTTGCATACTTAACAAAGTTTAAAAGTAATTTCTCTGTTTTCTTCCTAAACTGCACAAAAATCTTCATCACTCCTCTGCCATCTTCCATGTTGTTGCCTATTTTAGTTCCACGGTGTTTTTAATCCCCCTGGTAGTCATTTCTTTTATAATCAGTATTTATTTAGATTAACCAAAATGTTTGAAGAGTCTTTGTTCACTGTTGCTTCTTGCACCCTATTTTGTGTTCAGTTTCTTTCTACTGAAGTAAATCTCTTAAAAGTTCTTTTATTAAGAGTCTATTAATGATAAACTGCCTTTGAAAATATCTTTATTTTGCCTTAACACTTGTATGATTGTCTAGCCAAAAATAGAATTCCATATTGTCATTTATCCCTCGGCATTTTGAAAATATTCCATTACTTTTAACATTCTGTTTTTGCCATTAAAGTGCACTGTCAGTCTAATCCTCATTAATTTGTAGGTAATCTGATTTTCTCTTTGTCTTTGGTTCTGCAATTTCCCTATAACACATCTATGTATGGATTTATTTTCATCTCCTTCTTGAGATTCACCATACTTCTACAATTTGGAAAATGTAGTTATTATCACATTAAACATGGCTTCTTCCCTCATTTCTTGTCTCCTAGAAATCCTATGAGATGTCTCCTGGACCTTACCTTTCTATTCTTCATGTCTTTTAACTTGTCTTTCATATTTCCCATTGTTTTATCTCTGTGATGCATTCTGAGAAATTTTCTCATTTATCTTGCAGTGAACTAAATTTTCTTTTCACCTACTATTTAATTAGATGTTTAACTTGTCCACTGAGTTTTTTATTTCAATGACTGTACTTTTTATTTCTAGAATTTTTATTTGTTTCTTTCTCAGATCTGTATTTTCTTTTTTCATGGTGTCCCATTTTATTCATTTTGGTATCTTACTCCTTCATCTCTAGCTCTTACTATTTGGAGCACAGGCAGGTCCACACCAACTTAGTGTACTATTTTTCTTGAAATCTGAATTACTTTAGTAATATCTAAAAATAAAAATTAGAAGATAGATTTAGTGGCTAAATTGTGGTATAGATTGATACAGGAAAGATTTGAAGTAGAGCAAGCAGTCGAGAGGCTATTGCCCTGGTTCAAATAAGAGAGGATAAGGATTGGACTAAGTCAGTAGCAGTGGAAATGGAGAGGAGGGACATATTTGAAACATAATTTGGAAGATAGAATCAAGAGGTCCTGGTAAGCAATAGAATATAAAAGGGATAAAGGAGAAAAGATAATCATTCTGAGGGTTCTAGTTCAGATGACTGAAAGGATGGTGGTGCCATTGACAGAAAAAAGAAATAGAGGAGAAGGAGTACACCTGGCTGCGAGTTAGATTCTGAGCCTAGCTCTAGACACATTGAATGTGCCTTCGAGGTGGCAGGGTGGGGAGGGGGGTGTCCAGTAGACAGGCAGACTTACAGACCTAGCACATGGGAAAGAAGTCTCAGCTATAGCTATCTATTTGGGAGTTATCAGTATTTATATTTTGATAATAACAGAAGCTGGAGAAGGGTCTAAAGAAAGTGAGATTGTCCAGAGAGAATATGAAAAATAAAAGGAGAGAGCAAAGGGTGAAGCCTGTGGAACACCAGCATTCAGGGTGTATATGTTTTGGCAAAGGTCTGGCAAGCTACTGCCGAAAAGAAGAAACCCTAAAAGATCATTGAATAGATCGGTCAGAGAGGGAGGAGGAAATTCAGGAAAAAGTAATATTGCCAATCCAAGGGAAGTTTTAAGCAAGAAGGGAATGGCCAACACTAGCAAGTTGGATTTGGCTATCACGAGGACGTTGGTTACCTTGTGGAATCGCTTCCTGGAAGTTGGGTGGGGTGGAAGATACCACAGTGGGTCAGGGAGCGAGGGAAGGGAAGGAGAGTGAAGCTAAGTAGACTGCTCTTTTGAGAACTTTGGCTGTACACAGAAGAGAGGGAGGGCGATAGTCAAAGGTTAGGGGTGGTTGGGAAGTGTGGGGCAGGACACAAGGTTGAGGAAAGATTTTTGTTTTCGGATGGGAGAGACAAGCATTTTTGTAGGCTAAGGGTGAGACAGTACTCAAGAGGAAGAGGCAGCTAACAGTGCCAGCTTTTGATTACCTTGATTTTACCCTTTGATCAGACAACCTTTGCTTTGTTTTCAGCAGCACTTTTTTCTCTGAACACAGCTTACTTTTTCCAAGGCTCCTCCTCCAAATTGTCTTAAATCCAAAAGATAGGATCTGTTAGAATCTTTTATTGTAATTCAATCTCTAAGTATTTAACCAGAAAATTACAATAAAAACTTTTCCTAAAGTGACTTCAAAGATTGCTGGTATGGAATTTACTTCAAATTGAAACAGCTTATGTTTTCAGAAAATCTTGATTGTGTTAAGTCAGGCTGATCCGGAGAGATTTTCTTGATTCTGGAAGAAGCTAAACTAGTTTTGGTGTCTTAAAGAAAAGGTAGCTACTTGGATCCTAGCAATTGAAAGATCACTAATACATTTTTCTTTAAAATGCTATCCTCTAGCATGATGAATGAGCCTTTTTAACACTACTTAAATTGTCTAGCATTGATAAACCATTGAAATATGAAATGAATGGAGAATACTATCCATCTCTCCCTCACCAGGCTTTAAAACTGTTGTTTTACAAGTCCCAGATATACAAGCACAAGAGAGAATAGCAAAGAAGTTAGGTTCGATCTGTATTCATACTAAGCTTTGTTAGTAGGTCAGGTATTATGAGAGATCTTTCTGTTTAGGTTTGGGAAAATAGGTGGCTTTTAAAAAATACATAGCATCTGCTACCTAGCTCTTGGTAACTATGCTCATTTATCAGTATGGTGGACTAGAGTGTACATGAGGGAGGAGAGAGAATTTTCTGAGCCTGGTTTAAAAAGAAAATCTATCATGTTGTAATCTTAGGAAGCTAATTTATACATAGCCATTTTTAGGAGTAAAGAAATTCTGTGTTTTCTTATAAAGAAGTCATTAAATATGCATATCTCAAAACAGTTTCTTACCTGCAGAGCTTAAACAAATTGGTAGCATAAAATAGTGTCTGCTTTAAATTTCTTTAAAGTTCTTTTGTAAATACAACATCTGCAGAGATATATCCATTGAAAAGGCTACCCTCGAGACAGAGACAAGCTAGGGAGGAGAAACTTCTCAACAAAAGTCCTCAGAAAATAAACTTTTCGAGATAAAGGGAATTGTCCAAAGAAAAAGCCTGTGGGAACTAAAGTGACTATTTACGTTTATGATATTTAAGCAAATGTTATACTGAGTGCTCAGTTGTGTTGATGACTGTGGGTATTTTTCTGTTACTGTGTAATATTACACTGGTTCTGGCTGAAAATATAAACCAACAGACAGCCTCCTAGTGAAACGCTTTCTTGATGTTTAGAATCAGTTGAATCATCAAGACTACTCTCAACAGTTATATAACCTCATGAGCTGATGAGCTGCCTCTGGAGGAAGTTTCAGTAGCTAAATAATATTCTCTATTCAATAAGAATTCTAGTTGATTTTCTTGGTATTTCATGTTCAAAGTGCCTTACCACAAATAAATTATTTGCACCTAAGTGCTATATTGCTGGAACTCTCTCCTTTAAGAGGCATATTTTAAATATGGATATTTTGTAAACTATCAAAGGGCAAGTGTTACATACCTGTAGATCAATGCCTGTTTTCTTTTTTTGCCTTGTAGGAATTTATTCGAGAACAAGTGGAGGTAAACCTTTCTCTTATTTTCGGATTTCACAAAGAGGCACCACACACAAAAGCCTCCATTGTCCCATTTCCTTTTCCCATTAATAAAGAATGTGTTTATGCATTAGCTACTCCAGACCACAGGAGGCATCCAAGGGACTTTGCCACTGACTGTCCAGAAGGTGTTAGCATCCCAAGCCTGCCATGGTAAGACTCAACACACCAGCTCTTGAGTGCCTCTGCATGCTAAGCACTGGCAAGGGTACAGCAATTATGAAAAAAGTAGAAGGCGCACTTACTACTTGCCTCATGGAGGGTACAGTTTAGATCAAGAACCGAATACACTAAAAAGTAACATTAAAAAATCACTTTTACAAAGCAAAATACCAATGCATATATTTGACCATAATGCAGAAAGACTTATATGAGTGGAGGAGGAACTCCTAGAGGAGGACGCATATTAAGTCAAGTTTTGAATGAGCTGAGGGACATGGATTCATAGGATGGAGAGGAAAGTTTACTATAGGGAGAGGAAATAGCCTATACAGAGACCCAAAGACACACACAAATTAGTTCTATGAGGAACAGCAAAGAGTATCAAGAAATTAGGCTGATAAGAAAGGATAGAAGCCTAGAAGGTCAGAACAAAACCTTTAGATTTTATACAGAAAGCATTAATTAGAATCTTTGAAGGTTTTTAAGTAGGGTAATACGATAAAATATAGAAAATGATATTTATTGAAGGAACTTACTTTAGGAATGACAGCTACAGAATGTGGTTAAACAAATTGGTAGCATGAAATAGAGTCTGCTTTAAATTTCTTTAAAACTCCTTTGTAAATACTAACATCTGCAGGGATGTAATACTGACACCCTCCCTCTGTTTTTTTATGTTTCCATCAACCTCCTTTCTTCAGTTCCTGTCTTTTCTAGCTTAGAAACAACAGCCACCCAATCTGTCTCTTGCAAATACCCTAAACTACTTCACCCCTTTATCCTGTCTTTACTCCTCATATTTACTCCATCCCAATTTCATCATCTCCACCTTCAGAATGTATCTTAAATCTGTCCGATGTGATGTTTCCACCGCCATCTCGTTAGTTCTTAACCACTGTCGAGTCCTCTTTCTCAGCCTCCTCCCCATGTCCGTCTGGCTCTGCTTCGTGCCATTCTTCCCTCAGCACACAGAGGCATCTTTTCGAAACATCCCTCTGAGCATCTCATTCTTCTAACTCAAATATGTCAAGACTATTCTTTGCTCTTAGGATAAAAATTTTATTCTTTACCTTGGCCTGCAAGGGTCTTCGTGATCTGGCTCCTGCCCGCCTCTCCAGCTTCATCTCGTATCACCCTCCCCTTGCCCGTTACATTCCAGGCTGCTTCCTTGGTCTTGTTCTTGTTTCTGCACTTCCGTACTTGCCTTTTTCCTCGATCTTAAATGCCTTTCTACTCCTTCAATTAGCTGTGTCTCTCTTAACCTAAGGTCTCCGATTAAATATCATTTTGCTAGGAAAGCCTTCTCTGACCTCTAAACTGGGTTTAATTTTCTTATTATATATTCATTCTTACCCTATATTATACAGTACTTATAATTTAAATATATAATAGAAATATATTTATATAAATACGTTTTATATATATAATTTAATTTATAATTTAAATTATTATGTAATTGTTTAGTGTTTGTCTCACCCGTTAGACCTATTAGATCATAAGCTTCACAAGGGTGGAGATTGTCTGTCTCATCCACCGCCTCGCATAGTTCCTAATACAAAGTATGTACTTATAAATATCTGTTGACTGAGTGAATTAATGTATGCATAAAGGCAGGTGCTGACAGTATTTGAGTTTAGATTAGAAAGATTATTATAGAAATAGAAAAGGAAGCAGATAAAATGGGCATTGTACTGAACAATCAGAGATCTTGGTGATAGATTGGCTATGGACAAAAGATAACCTTGATTTCATAAACCTATAAGAAGTGGGCAAAATATTGCTGTTGCTGCCTCTTTAAAAAAAACTGACAGCAAAGTCCTAACACGTTCAGGAATACTTCTGACAGGGATTAGAAAGACAAGCGCCCCATAAGGAAAAGCTGAGAGATAGGTCAGTCCTGAGGCCTTAGAAGTACCAATTTCAAGCAGTATTAAAGTCACTTGAAAGAAGCCTAAGAAACATTTTACTTTTCCCAGATATTTGGCTCTGACCCAGGGTCAGCATTGCTTTCCCACCATATATACCATAACCATCTTGTTTCTGTCTTTTGTTTAGGAGCCATTAAGTTCAATGACGGCCTGAGCTTAGAGGAGTGTTATCGCCTTATTGAAGCTCTGTCCTGGTGCCAGCTGCCATTCCAGTGTGCTCACGGGAGACCTTCTATTCTGCCGTTAGCTGACATAGACCACTTGGAGCAGGAAAAACAGGTACAGTAATGACTAACAGGAGAAAAGAAAGCAAAGTTTATATTCTCTTTCTTTTCCAGCCCCTATTATCCAAATGTAATGTGTCTTAATCCTTTCAAAAATATAACAGTTTTGATAAATGTGCATTGGGAGTTTTATATAAAGTCTCACCATTTCATCTTCTAGCTCAAATTCAAAATGGAGATTAGGCTGAACTATTAGATTATACACGTGATGCCTTTGTATTTCTTAAGCTTAACACATGTACAGACTGACGCATCCTGAATATCTGTTGCCTACAAGCTCTAGATTTGATAAGATACAGACATTCTCTCTGGGGTTACAGAAAGTTGGTAGAAACACAGCAAATTCACTGCTGGAAAATGTAACCTAAACAGCCAGTTGTTTGATGGTACTTGCTGGAAATGATGACCTTGCTGGAAGTGGTGGCCATCCCCAAAGATCTCTAGAGTTACGGTGTTGGGGGTCATCAGGCGGGGAACCAAGCTTAGGAGATTTCCACATTAGGCTTTGGGCTTGATCACTCAGCAGCCCAGGAATAGTGATGTGGATAACACCATGAAGGCACAGAGTGGTCTAAATTAAAGAACTTTCCTGTCCTTGTTATAATCCGAAATGAAACAACGTGAGAGCAGAATAGAAATGTCTGTGTTGCTGCTTTCCAAAATCCCTTCTTTGCCCACCTTCCCTGCTAAAGCGGCTGTGAAGGCTTTTCTCGTGTGGCATTTTCAGGTACTTTCATTATCTGACTCCAGTAGATTTTACCCCATTAAAAACTGCTTGTTTCACATGAGTGAAAAAAATGAAAGTTTTGTCCCAATTCCTGAAGAGTTGGGAATCTCTTATCCTAAGGAAATCTATAATCTTTTTTGAAGTGAAAAATTAGAAATCTAAGCAGCCATATATAGGAAATGCTTATATGCTGCTTGGCTTTTTGTACTGGTAATTGGAGTTATTCTTTTCTTCCCATAGATTAAACCCAATCTTGCAAAACTTCGCAAAATGGCCCAGGCCTGGCATCTCTTTGGAAAAGCAGAAGGATGTGATTCAAGGCAAAGCCAACAGGCATCCATGCCTCCTTGTGAGCCACCATGACAACAGAATTATTGACCTATATGGAACCAAAGGGATGCTAACTATTTGCCTCTGAGCAGAAAGCATGAACTGCAGGCACCAGCAGAGTCTTAACTGAATCAGCCTGGTGTCCACGAGCAACATACTAGTCTTCCTTGAGCAGATGATCCCTCTAGCTGAGGAGCCATGGATTTCAAGCCTGAAGACAGTTCATTCATTTGCATTCATGAACACAGGAGGTTGCCCTATAATATTTATTTTTTGTAACTTATTTAGAGATAAAATTTAATGATTAATTGTCTTATTGTCTGGTTGGTTGGTTTGTGGTTTTCTTAGGGATAGAATGTTTTGGGGTTTTTTTTGGTATCATTTTGCAATTTTTTCCAATCTCGTAATTTGCATTGATGTAATTTACCTGAAGCTGAACTTCAGGGATCAAGTCTACCTCCCTAGACTGCTAAGAGCCATGTTCATTAGGCCCTTCCTTTCCCTCCAGTCTTCTTCACTTCCCTCTGCTGCTTCTGTACATTCTAAATCTGACTTTACAAAGAGTTTCTCTGCACTCAGAAATGGTCTCTGCAGTTTTCCATTAGGCCTGTAGTTAGAGTGTTTTAGGGAGAAAAACTATTGATAAAGAGAAACAAGGACAAGGATAGAATAGAGAAAATTTAAAAGTCCTTTTTCCTGTTTTGTTTATTTTATTGCCTTTTTAAAAACTCAGACTGATGTTCATATCCCAAACCAGTGATATGGTGAAAGTACTATGAGTTTGTTTTTTAAAATGACTTTTTGTACTTTATAATGTATCTTTTTATTTGAAAGCAATTTTCACTTCAGAATGCAGCATTTATCCTTTTAAATGTTCTCTACATTTTTTCAGGAGACAAGGGTTCTTTTGGTCCTTTTCAAATTATATCTTGGTTTTATTACAGTATGCCTACTAATGGTCTCATAATTTCATTTGGGACCCAGACTGATCTTTCTGCAAGTGTTTATTATGCCACTCTTAATCTGTGTCTCCCCCACACCTGTTCAGATAACTTGATTTCTGGTTAATAAGAATCAACAGGCTAAAAGACCTATAGTAGGGAGGGAGAAGCAAACAAAAAAAAAAAATCAGCTGGTAATGTTTATTGCAACTGAGACGCTGTACAAAGAGAAAGATGTTGCAATGAGAATTTTCACTTTTGTATTTCCTGACCAGCCTGCTCAAATTGGCCTTTGTATCAATGGAATTATTTTCCTCATTTTTAAATACAGGAAACAAATTTGTGCCCATGAAGAAAAGTTTGTTTGCCAGCAGCCCTGCAGTGTTCTTACAGGAGCAATGAAGTATTGCATTCATTAGCATGTGCCTCAGAAAAGGTTCAGGGAAAGCCTTTGCTGGTTTTCAAGGGGATCCTTGTTGAATTATGTAATTGGAACCCTGAAGAATAGGCACCACTGTTTAGAAATGGTCTTTAGTCTTCTAAATATGCATAAAGTTTCATAGACGGAGAGACATGACCTTAGAGAGTGTTTTCAGAGGATGTGCAAGGCTGTCAGGGGCTCTGCCTCCAGGCCCAGTGGAGTGCTGAGGCCTTGACCTCTGCTTCCACTCTCCAGAGCTACATGGAGGCCAGCTGTCCTGGGAGTTTTAAAAATCTTTTTAGGTCAGACCAACTTGTGGGATTAAAAAAAAAAGCATGACAGTACCTCTTATACTAGGATGATGGGGGGCAATTTCAAAAGATTTTGCTAAAACCACTGTTTTCTTGAGAATAAGAGGATTAGAAACCACTGTTTTCTTGAGAATAAGAGGATTAGAAAAAGTTCTTCCTAAATATGTAACCAACCTTCCTAGATAGCCTGATCAATCAACATATGAGATAATTGTCGTGTTTTGATCATTTATATACTCAGTAGCAACCATCAACAGAAAACCAACCTATTACACAAAAATATCTAATATTACTTTTATTATCGCCTGTTAGGGTCTGTTAGGGTTTTGTTTTGTTTTTGAACTCGGGTGCCATAAGAACAAAGATACATCTAATTTTCTAACACATGATAGTAATCATTAACACCTATATGGTGCTTTAGGTTTATAAAATAATTTTACATACCTTATTTGAATTTCTTGACAACCCATGAGATAAGGTGGTATTATTCTCCCCCATTTTACTAAGGGGGAAACTAAAGCTGGAAAATATTAAGTGATTTATCTAAGATTGCACAGCTAGTAAGTAGAGAATGATATCCAAGTTTTCTAGCTCCATATTATAGTTACCATATTATTTCTCACACTTACAACAGTCCTCTTAAGAAGCTAGTATCTCTCTTTCACAGTGAGGCTACAACAGCTTGGAGGTATTAACTAGTTTGCCGAGGACCTAGCTGAGAATCAGAATTCAGACCCAGGTCTGTGTAACTTCAGATTGCATACTCCTTCCCATCATTACCCTATGCTGACCTATATAATATATTTTTATAAGGGATTTATCTATTTGTAAACTTAGTTCAAATTTATTGGATTCTGGTTTGTGGAGCCTTCGTCAACTTCAGAGTAAAACTTGAAAGATGAGATGTGCAATTAAGTCATTCTTGAGAGTCTTTTTTTTTTTTGGTAACATCCATCAAAACTTTAATGAGAAATAAAGATGCATACCTTCAATAAGCTTAGCTTTAGTCATGGAGAGAGGCAAGGAAACTGGTAACAGAATATGGTCACTTCTAGGCTTAGAGATCACTGAGTTACAGCTGTGTCTTTATTACTAAGGTAAGAGGAGATAATTCTGTCAGGGTTAAGGCTATAGGTGGCAGTAGGAGCTAATATCGGAAAGCTTAGAATATAGGCTGGAGGGAAGGGGAAACGCTAGGGAGGGGGCTGGGGCCTGGTCCACAACCTAGCTGGGGATCTAGCTGAGAAGAGAGAAGTTCTAGTAATCAGATGTCAGAGCAAGGCAAAGGGTCAGAACAAAGGAACAGCTGGGATCTGAGCCTAACCGAGAAGAAAAAGAAAAAAGCAACCAAAACGGGGGCAGAGCAAGAGGGGTCCAGGTTCTAGGCTGAGGAAGCCATGCCAAGTGAGAACAGATGCAGCCCATCAGTTCCTAGAGAGCGCTGCCAACCCAGCTCAAGCTGATGCTTCACCAGTAAGGGCGTATCAGTGAAGGGCAGTTTCCGTAACAAAGAACTCAACTCTCCCTGTTTTCCACCTGAAGTGCCACCCCATTCCATCAAAACCCTTTATAAAAGCAGGCTAACAACAAGAACTGATCGGTATGTTTGACACTGTATGTCCTGCCTATTTTTACCCTTTCAGAGCTGAAGTTGCTTATCAACAGTGAGATGGCAAAAAGGTGGGCTCAGAAGAGGAAAAGAAGGAAGTCTGGGAAATCAAAAATCTGGATAATATGCACCAAATAAACCCTTCCTCTTATCCCTCCATTAATTCATTTATTCAACATTCAGTAACTAGTAAGTCCCTTCTAAATGTATTACGTCAGAAATTGTGGGGTTATAAAGAGGTTATCCTATGGCTTAGGATTTTTCAAACCCTTAGGTCATTTTCACCACATGCCTGTTTGTCATAGAGCACTGTCTTATCGAGAAACATCTGATAAAGTTCAGGCAACCTGAGCAAAGCCTGTGGGAATCTAAGTGTCTTACATATTGGAGTCTACTGAGCACGTAAACAAGTATGACTCAAGTAGCAGTCTGAAGAAGCTAGATTGGGCCTCTTTACCCTTACAACATGCCTGACTAAACAATTAATCGTGTTTCCTTCAAAAGCAAGGAGTATCAAATAATGGTCTAAAAAAAAAAAGTGGTTGGGAGTTAGCTATTGCTATTAGTTTATCATTATTCAAGGTATTTCCTCACCTCTCGTAATAGTTAACTGCAGAATTTCACGTATAACTTACAAATTTTAGGAATCTTGTCAAGTTTTTTTTCTAGGCAGGTCTTAATTCTAAATGTAATATATGCCTGATAAAACATTACTGAAAGGTTCCTTCTCTTCAGCACAGTATTTACTACAAACACCAAGCAATCATCATTTCAAGTGCCGTTAGGCTCAAAGGCTGCTCTTCATTGTGCGTTGTGAAGACTGAAAGCTTAGACTTAGCTCTTTATTAATAATTGCTTAGCCATTGCACAATATCCTAGAACAGCTGTTTGGTGAATGAAAGAATAATTCAAAGCAGAACAGGCCAGATATAAAACACTTCCAAACCACATTTCAAAATAGCTCCTTTGTGACAACTAGGTGCATGTCTGCAGTGGGAGTTTTTGCAAGGTGGATAGTATGGGGCCTTCACAATAACTACATCAACACCTGGTACTATATGGCAAAGCAGTTCTGATGTACTGAGTCCCACATATGTGGCATTATAGAGCCATATAGCTCAACGATGGAACTGTGTGACTGTCAGCCTGCATTAACCCAGACTGATGCAACAGATTGCTTTGAGAAATGGTTTTGAAGCACATCTGTGAAACCCATCCTATGGGTACTGACATTTATTTCTTTGAGGTATCACTTTACACTTAAGTTTTTCTTGGTATTTTTCAGAGACTTCTCTTCTGAGGCTAAATTAGGAATTTTTGTTCCTTATTTGAGTTCCAAGAATTGTGCCTTTTCTGCCCTCCGCCCAAATTGGAAGATATAAACCGTGGGAAAGTGTCTTTACAAACTGTATTAAGTTATCTAACTTGGTTTATTTAGTAGATTCAGGAAGCCTTTCACATCCGTGGAATCCTCTTTCTTTTAATTCTCTCCAAGCTAAAACAGGTTTGTTCTTCTTTAAAAGAGTTTCTGGGTTCTGCCTGCAAAGGTGGGAAGGGAGGCAGGCCCAAACAAAAGCTGACAAGATAGGCCGTTAAGTCAGGATGGAACTCCAGTTTCTCCCTGTTCAGATCGGGTTCTCCCTTTCTAATATTTACTTTCCCTAATAGGAAAAGGGAGAAAAGGAAATAGAAAAAAACAATGCATATAAATAGTTTGTGGGATTTACTTAATTGAGGCCCTAAAGATTCTAAAGAATATTCATTTATGAAGTCCTTCTGTTCTAGGCACTGTAAGAGTTGACGAAAGAGGCAGAGCCTCTACCCTTGTAACCTTCATCCATCTCAGTTATGCCTGGGAAGGATGTTGGTGCTAATTTTAGACTCAGAGACTAAGATGCACAAAGGACAAGTATCATAAAGCATTTTTGGAGCCAGAAACAAAGTTCCTTGACTCACTGCTGCTTTTACTCCAGACCACACAATTATACCCAAGTGAACTGCTGTTAGAATTGGTGCCTTCAGAGGAGACAATTGCTCATAATTGGTAGCTATAAGCCACTTCACTGAGAAAGCTGGGGTCTTAGATGCTGTGAGAAATAATTGAGACTGAGGCCCTAGTGAGTCAGGATCTTCTGAGTCATAGGACTTTTAGGTCAGTCTTTAAGACCCACCCTCTAGATCTTGATTCTCCCCTCCCTCAGGGAAGATAAGAGCAAAGATCTATCTCAAGAAGGTATCAAAAGAGTAGAGGCCTTTCCCTCAAAGCCTGCCTCTGGCCAGTGTTTATCAGAGTGTGGTTATCAAATCATCAGTTAAAATCCCTTGGGGTGCTTGTTAAACATGCAGACTCCTTGCTCCCTCCCTCCACCCCTGCCCCCAACAGACACCCTAGGCAGAAGGGTGGCCTTTGTGACAAGCATTCCAGGGAGTTCTGCACATCCAAGCCTGCCTTGGACCTCTGCTTCAGACCAGTACTTCCTAAATACACAAATCATGTGGATTATTACCTGGGGAGATTTTTTAAAAACATAATTACTAAAGCACTACACATAAAATATGGAAACAACATATAAACATACTACATCAAATTATGCTTGCCACTGTTTGGTGTTATTCTTCCAGACTTTTATCCATTGCTTTAATGAAGGGTCATATTATGCATATTGCTCTGTAACTTTTTTCCCCTAGTTTGTTTTTAATGAACAAAATATAAAATGGACTTCCTTACAATTCTATCCCATTCATTACCACAAGAGTCACAAATCAAACGCCTACAGGGGTTAAGCAGGTAAGATTAATAAGTTAATGGACCTGGGAGGAACTGCAGAAAACTAGGTTTTCCAACTAATGGAATCAGAAGCTATCCAACTCTAGCCAACTGCTGCCATTTGGGAATGTGGGTTCAGAATCGCTAAATCTTCTGAGTTCTCAAGGGAGGCAAGAAATGCAAATTTGTTCAATGTGCAATCTTCAGATTTTTAAATATTGGTAACTAATTCAAATTAAATACTGAGTGAACCAGCCAAAATCCAGACACTGCCCTCAAGCCACCCTTTTGAAACCTCTATTGCAGTAGATACATAATGTTCCGTTATGTCATATTTAAAAACCTTTCTTGCTTTTAATTAACAGAATACAAAATGTTACTGCTGAACACTTAGGCTGTGACATTACAGCTGCTACAATGGATAGTCTCATCTGTATCTTTGTGTGCTTGTACAAATAATTCTAGAAGTGCAGGTTCAAAGAAAAGATTGTTTACAGTCCTATTAACAGTACATGAGAGGGTCCTTTCCTGAGGAGCTTTAAACAGATGTCACCCCAGAAATCAGATGTAGCGGATCTGGGATGGAGCCTGAGTATTTATTTTTTTAAGCTTCCAGATGATTTTGATGATCAGAGAAGTTCTGGAACCAGTCTTAGATTACAAGTTGTTTGATTACAAATTGTGAATTTTCTTTATAATTCACATTTCCAGTGAATTATAAAGAAAACTGTACTCTCAGTTGTACTTTTCTGTTTTAGACTTACCTCTAACTTCAGCCCTCTATGAAAACATGTAAAGGGCTCTGCTGCTGCTGTTTCAGGCAGTTCAATCAGAGCAAAACGAAAATAAACCAACTCAGGAACCTTCAAGTAGCTTTAATTGGCACAACCTATGAAAAGGTATGGTAGACATTTCTGAGCAAAAAAATGTATCCTAGCAAGCTTATTCATTGTTATGTTTAACACACCACTGAACCAGAAAGTTTAAGTTCCCGAAACAAATGCTCTAGGTCACCAAGAAGGTCCAGAATGAATAGGTCAAGCCCTGCTACTCTGTTAAGACCTGAAAGGCAAAAAAAAAAAAAAAAAAAAAAACCAGTCCCAGATATGTCCTTGTTATGGGATGATTAAAAAGGCAGGAAACGGATTTTTTTAGGCTGACTCCAGTTCACTCCCCCATTACGTGGAAGGTGCATTCGGCAGTGGCACTGAAGTCTCCTCTCCATTCTGGGTTCGTCTAAGCAGTTTCTACTTAGGATGACTGGTGTCACAGGATATGATCATCAGGATGGTAGAGTTCGCTCATGAGGCGGTAGATGTAGGAAGGTGCATTCCCACCAATGTTGGAGATAAAGAGGGTAATGAGCTCTGGGGGGACGTAGTCAAACACAGGGCAATGAACGCTGACCTTCTCCAGAATGTCTCCTGAAAGGCAATCATATGTGCTAAAGATAAAACTAACAATCCTGCTCTAATAATTAAGTAGTACATAGGCTCAATAATGCAGGCATACTTGCTACCTCAGGGAAGGGAAGCTGCAGCAAAATGCAAACCAGAAGAGATGACTTCAGATCGTGATACTCCCTACTTAAAACTCTCCAATGCCTTTCCATTGCCCTTAGAATAGAATTCAAACTTGACCAACATCCTTCAAGATCTGGCCCTTCCCCACCGCACTGCACTAATTACAATTCATACCATTCTCTCCCTTGCTCATTAGTCTCCAGCCATATGGCCATCTTTTTCCAACTGGCCCTTTGCACCAACGCCTAGAAAACTCGTTCATCTTCTGTTTTAGACTCGTGGCGGGCTCTATTCATTTAGAACTCAAGTGAAATACCATCTCATCAAGACCTTTCCCCAAACTAGCCATTTTCCATCTCATTGTCCTCATTTGTCTTTTTTCCTAAAACATCCAATGACCTGACATGTTCTTGTCCATCTTCTGCAACGGAATGTAAGCTCCATGGGAGCAGGGCCTAGCCACACTGGTCACTACAATAGTGCTGGGTACACAGTGGGTGCTCAACAGATAGAAATATTTCTAACAGAATGAATGTTTAAATGAATGAATGAAGTTATTTTACTTCCAAGAAGAATTAGCAGCCCAAATACTACGCTTTGCTCCCAGATAGTGTTTAAGGCCATATTAAACTAATCATGAAGCTCTGCTGCCTTTTAGAAGTCAGAGAAAAGAACCCAAAGGTATGCAGGTTACAGGTAAGTTTTATAAGTAGGAACATTTCAGAGCCTGCTTCCTTTGGCAGCCATATCACCAAAATGACTCCCTACAGCAACTGAAAACAAGGACATTTTCTCACTGGATTGTTGCCTGTGTCTCAAACAACATACAAAGCTAAACCCAGTCAATGCTGGGTGATCCAACCCACCATGGCCCCAATAACTCAGCTAAAATATATTAGTTTCAGAACAAAGTGAACCTGAACTACAGCAGGTCTCCAGGCACTCTAAGCTGCTAAAGAGAGCAATGCCCACAAAAGTACTATTAAAACTACAACCTGGCAGCATTCGATCCCACCAACCACCAAAACAAAACAAAAAACCAAAACACACTCGTGCATGCGCACACACACACTCTTCTGTACCTTCTGTGAAGGGCAGGACTTCTTCAGGAGCCACAAACTTGTGAAATGAATCTTCTTCATTGGGGAACTGGAAAAGAAAAAAAAAATTGAAAAAAAAAAGAGACCCAACAATTATATTTCCAGAAATATACCCAAGAGAAATAAAAAACATATGTCCACACAGAAACATGCACATATATGCTTACAGCAGCAGCGTTCATAAAAGTCGAAAGGTAGAAATAACCCAAATGCCTATCAACAGATAAATAGATGCATTGTGGTATACCTATACAGTGGAATTCAGACATAAAAAAGAAAGCATTGTGCAATAATTCAGATGAACCTCGAAAACAAAATGCTAAGTGAAAGAGGTCATGAACAAAAGGGTACATATTGTATTCCTTTTACATGAAATACCCAAAATGAGCAGACCCATAGAGATGGAAAACAGATTAGTGATTACTAGGAGATGGGGGAAGAGGGAGTGATTACTTAACTTAATGGGTACAGAGTATTTTTCTGGGATGATGAAAATTTTGAAACTAGAAAGTAATAGTTGCACAATGCTGTGAATGTAAATGCCACTAAACATTTTAAAATGGTTAATTGTATGTTATGTGAATTATACTCAATTTAAAAAAAGACCTAGATGATTCCAAAGCAAATAGCTTCTATCACTAATAAAATGACTCTTCACTTAGTAACTGCTTATGTGTAGGCTACAGAGGACAGACGCTGGAACAATGACAAAACAATTTTTATGTTCCTAGTTTTAACTTGCTTGGCATTTTCAGAAATGCTCAGGGTCACGAAGAGTGGAAGCCATGTAAACGAAGGGCCCCTCCCAACTATGTATTGTCCTGACCTTACAATCTGGACTGCTTAAAGCTGACAGATTATAAATATCAATATTTTTCTTGGATCAAGACTTCTGTGGCTTTTCCAGCCTCCACTGGATCTAATCCATTGAGTAAATGAAGATAAAGAAAAGTTCCAGAGTGAGTAGGTTGAAGGCCCAGAGATCAAGCCTACTTTGGTTTCCTTCTCTCTGTTGTTCAGAGATAGACACACATACCTGTGGGGAAAGCTTGAACATAGGAGCACAGACGATGAGTGGGGTGGAATGGTGTTTCGCTGCCAATGCTAGAGTGTGAGTTCCTGTCACAGCTCTCAGGGCACCATTGGCCAGAATGGTCTTTGTGCCAATGATCACCTTTGGGACAGGAAGAAAAATGTGAGCCATCCTGGGGACAGAGTCTTAAAAGGGCCATTGGGTACAACAGCCTGAATGCTCAGGCCTGAGCTTTGACATCCTGAGTAGTCACACAGCAGTAGGGGGAAAGGGATTATAGGCTTAGGACCACAAGTTCTAGTTTCAAAGTGGGTTCCTAAGGAAAGAATGAATGTAGTACAGGATAGGAAACTGCGATATCTACTGCGTTTAGCCCTGTCTTCTAGAAATCTATATGCCACACCTCCCAAGATATGGGGAACCTTTCTCATTTTCTATCCACCACTAACCATTCAGTACCGACCTCTGAGCATAAAGGGGGGCCCTCTACCAGATTCCTAGCAGCTGACATGTTTAGCTTACTTCATTCTTCCAATGCCTTAACTAAAAAGAAGCTACTCCAAATGAAGAACAATGATACAGACAAAAGGAAAAGAAATTCAGTTAATAGATTAAAAAGGCCCAAGTATGTACTTTCAAAGGGTGCTAGAAACTCTTCTCATGGATATTATAGGCGAGAGTAAAAAAAATCAACATTTTAGAAGTATAATCTTTATGAATGCAACATAACTCCAAATACACTCACCTTGTTGACTCTTGACATAACAGCAAAAATGGCAGCATCAGTCATGACAGTTGTCTCAATACCTGCTTTGGACAAATTGACTGCCATTTCATGACCCTGCAACAGGAAAGAAAGGCTGATGCTGGGACAGAGTGAGAGATAGTGAAAGAGTTCTCAAATGTAAATGTATCTGGGGAATTCTGCGATACTGGGCATATCTGACACACAATTTTCAACACATAACTAATTCAATTTTCTGTCTGTAATAGGTATTCTCTGGTAAGCTGCAAGGAAGCCCAGGGGAAGCTAATAAACGTTTAATACTCCACAGTAGCACTAGAGCAGCCATAAAACTGGAAATACTACTTGCTTGCATAATGAGACGTAGCTGACAAGATAGCTAGCTCCTGGCTCATCCTTGTGTATTTCCTTTTTTGAGACTTATTATTGTGTGAGGTCAGACAAAACATGTTATCCCCATGACAATTTACCTTATTTTGATTCCTCAAAGAATGAATGTTTATCTTTTCTTGGACCCAGCTGTTCACCCAAATTTCTTAAACCAATATTTAAGAATGTTCACAGGATGAACTACCTGAAAATTCTCTTCATGTTTTACTTTATCTTCTCAATGTCTTGCTTATCAATTCGAAGTTAGCACAGAGCTCATCTATCCCTTCTTTATTCACTCTTCTTTTTTTTTCTTAGCAACTCCAGCAGTTCTCCTACCTGACAGAAAGGAGCACACTCTGCCACAATGACATGGAATTTCCTCTCCCGGGCAGCTTCTCTGAGGAAGGCCTCTACTGTTCGGGAGAAGCCAATGGTCATGATCACCTCATTGGAGTGGATGTGCTCTAGAGCCTGAGCTGCAATGTTCTCCGTTGTCCCTTCTGCAACAATAGTCATATTTTACAAGGAAAATATGAAAACGCCATGTCACATCATGACAGATATTACAGAGTGCAAAAGAGAAGGTGTGCCTGTCACACAGAATGCCCACCTTTCAGACCCTGGTAACACGGCTAACGAACTGAATGTGAAATGCCACATTTTCTTAAAAAGCTCTGCTCCTCTGGGATCTTCTACGTCCCAAGTTCTCATCTTGCCATGACATCAGCTCCTTTACAACTGATTTTGAAGACAATGACTTCGGGCAAGAAACGGTCCAATTTAGAAAATCCTAAAGCGTTAAGAGTGGTGTAAACAGAGCTCCCCTCACCAACCCCACCCCCCAAAAAAACTCCTTTAAAAGGTGGCCCCAACACCTCCACCTGAGAGGAAGGTCACAGAAGACAAAGAGGGAAGGAATTTGGAAACAGCACCTCAGTGCACTGACAGACCCAGTTTCTTCTTCCCCTGGAGAACTCTGATTGAAATGAGTATCTGCAGGTCTGCTGGGTCACAAAGACAACAGGGATGGTAGTGTGTGTGTGTGTATAAAAATTCAAGAGAAAGTTTAGTGAATGAGGGTCTATTAACCATAGTTTTAGAGAGTTTATTTTAAAAATGAAAATAAAGCTCTGTCCTAAAGGAGTCCCTGCCATAGTGAATTGATAAAAGGTTGGTCTGTAAGGAAATGTAGAGGTTATCTTAGTCCTCCCACCTTCCGAATCAGGATGGAGGACAAACCTCTTGAGAACCAAAAGTACTGGTTATCTCCTGCCTCTGTTGATGAACAACTTCCAGGGTCTTCTGTTGTTCTCTCATTTTTTTGTAATCTGTCCTATCCACCTAGGGATCAGAACTCTTACCCAGTTCCACAAGCAGCTCATTAATTGCCTCAATGATACTGGACTGGAGTTGGGCATAATAGGAGCTGAAATCCTCGTTCAGGCCTCCGGATGTCAAGAGTTTGTGCAGGGACTCCTGCTGGTCGCTCTCGTCGCTGCGACCGTGGAGTCTGGAGGTGACAAGATCCAGAGAGGTCGTAAGGAGGTGTGATGATTTAACTAACAAAACCTGTTCAGCTCCAATAAAGGCTCCAAGCGAGGCGAGGGGCTCATGCAAAAAGCATCACCCCGTCCAAACCGGAGCCCAGGACATGGCCTGACCTGCCATACTCCTCCCGGATGATCCTGAGCACTCTCCGCACCATGTTGCCCACGGTGGTCTCTGAGGGCTGCGCAGCCGTCATCCTTCGGCCCTCTCTGCGGATCAATTCCATCAGCTCCCCTGCAGTCCAAAAGACGGTGAGCAGAGTAAACGCAAGGTGGGGCCTGGGCGACTTTCCGCCTGGGGATCGCGAGTAGAAAGTGGCGAGGGACACGAAGGAGCTAGGCCTGCCTTACCTGCGTTGCTCCAGCAGTGGTCCGTGATGATCCAGCGCAGCAGCCCCAGGGTCTCTCGGGCCATGTCCTCGGAGCTGCGCCGCCCGCCGCCCCGCTTCAGGGCCTCCACGAAACTCTCGATCCTCTCGGACAATTCCAAGCCCTTGGCAGCAGCTCCGGGCATCTCGAAAGAAGCCGCCTTCGCGGCGGAATCCACACCTGCACGACCACCAGGATTGCACTTCCGGGGCGGACAAGGTCGGCTTCCGCTCTGAGAGAAAAAAAACTCCAGTTTTGGAGCTGGTAGGCCACGCCCCTCGCTGCCACCTCCCGTCCCTTCCATAAGCCTGAGCCAATCAGAGACGTGGAGCTCCAGTTCAGTTTCAACCAGGAATCTGCGCGCCTTCGGGCAGGAGAAGCGGAACTGGCCTCTTCTGGCTCATCTGACGCTGAAGAGGTGAGTCGCGAGGCCTCCAGAGGGTGGCTAGTCCCGTTGCCATGGGAACAGCTAGTCTTTTTCCCTGCCACTAAGACCTGCAGCAACGCTGGACAAGTGGCCGCTTTCCTTCCTGGTGCCCAGCTCAGTCTCCTGACACAGACGCTCAGAATGCGCATACAAGGCCTGCTGCCCCTTTATCATGCTGTTTTATTACATCTTACTGGTTCATTTGCGCTTGTGCCTCTCTTAACAGATTCAGCTTCTTGAGGGCGGGGACCATATCTTTTTTGCCCTTGCATTCCCAACGCCTAGCACAGTTAGTATAAGATAGGGGAATCAGGAATGAAGAGACGGAATACTCACCAAAATAAGGAGATTCAAAGAGAACTAATGTGAGAGCAAAGATAACGTCCTTCTACTTTAGGCTTAAGAGGCTAGGCAGTATAATCTCAAGAGATACCATTTACTTAAAGCTTACTAAATGTTGGGCACTGTGTGTGAATTTTCTCATGTAATGCAACTCTATGAGGTAGGTTCTTTTATCCTCATTTTGCAGATTAGGAAACAGAGCCGCCAAATTTAAGTAGTTAGTAAAGGGATATGTTTATATTTAAATCCAGAGTCTGTCTGAACTCAAGTCTGCATAATGAGAATCTCCAATGGTTTCCTTAAGTTAAATTCTTAGAAGTGGAATCCTTGGGCACACACATTTTTAAGACTTGTTACAATTGACAAATTGCCCTCTGAAAAGATATATCAATACCAAAATCAGACAAAGATAGTTCAAGAAAACTACAGTAACCCTCATGAACAGCAAATGCAAAAATCTGCAACAAATTAGCAAAATAATCCAGCAATACATTAAAAAAAAAAAAAACCATAATTACCAACCTGGAATGCAAAGCCGTTTCAATATCTGAAATTCAATTTAATAAATCATATTAACAATCTAAAACGTAAAACCAAATGAGCATATCAGTTGATAAAAGAAGCATTTGACAAATTCAGCCATTTAATAAAAACTCACAAAACTAAGATAGAAGGGAATGTCTTCAACTTGATAAAAGGCATCTACAAAGTCCTACACCAAACATCATACTTTATGGTGAAAGACTGCTTTCTCCGTAAGATCAGGAACAGGCAAGGGTGTCTACTCTAACCATTCTTATTTAACATAACACTCAAAAGTCCTAGCCATTGCAATAAGGCAAGAAAAAGAAATTTTAAAAACGTACAGATTGGAAAGAAAGAAAACGATCCCTGTTCACAGAAGATATCATCATCATCATTTACATAGAAAATCCCAAAGAACAGAAAATAACAAAAAACCTCCTAAAACAAATAATTGAATTTAGCAAGGATACAAGGCCAAAACATAAAAATCAATTATATGTCTCTATACTAACAATGAATAATTAGAAACCAAAATTAAAAATGCAATAGCTCCCAAAAGGCATATTTGTCAATTTTTCTGCATGTTGAGTTTAAAATGTCTTAAAAATTGCATCAATTTACATGCTTCCTAGTACATGAGTTTTCTCTCATTTTCACTGCTGCCTAGTATTACATTGTGTAACTATACCACAGTTTAAGTATTCATTTTCCTTCAACAGATGTTTGAGTTGTTTCCAATTGGGGGGGGTAATATAAAATAAAAATATCCTCATGTGTATTTTGGCATACTTGTAATGGAACATCATAAGATGAATCAGCTTATGTGACCCAGTGAAAGAGCTGAGTCATGGGCTATATGAATGTTCAACTTTACAAATTGTGCTAATCTTCCACAGTGGTTAAATCAATGTATGCTCTGTCTGGGGGGAGTTAAAGAGTTCCAGATCGACATTCTTATCAACACTTGGCATCATTAACTATTTTAGTTTTGGAGAATCAAATGAATATACAAGACTATCTTGTTGTGATTTTAATTTATTTTCCTGATTACTAAGAAGTTGTTCACTTTTTTCACATGTTTATTGGCCAAGTGTTTTTTATCCTTTATGAAATATGTTTGTATCTTTGGCCTACTTTTTTTTGGCTTAAAAATTTTTTTTTCTAATATATTGTGGAGTTCTTTATGTATTCTGAATACTAACTTTTTTCAGTTATTTGTCTTATAAATACTTTCTTTTGTTTTTTTTACTTGCTTCGAGATGACTTAACAGAATCATTGGTTTTAATATGGTATTTTGTCTTTCATAGTTAATGCCTTTGTATTTTAGTTAAAAAATCCTTTTCTAATCCAAGGTCATAAAGATAACCTCCTTTGAAAAGAATCCAAAAAAATGAGGATAGTTAAAGGACCTCTGGAACAACATTTGCATAATAAGGGGATTTGTATAACATTTGCACCAGAGGGAGAAGACCAAAAGCAAGGAATTGAAAATCTATTTGAAGAAATAATTACAGAAAACTTTCCTAATCTGGCAAAAGAAATAGACATTCAGGCCCAGGAAGCTCAGAGAGTCCTAAACAAGATGAACCCAAAGAGGTCCACACCAAGGCACATCATAATTAAAATGGCAAAGGTTAAAGTCAGAGAATATTGAAAGCTGCAAGAGAAAAGCATTTAGTTGCCAGTAGGGGAGCTCCCATAAGACTGTCAGCTGATTTCTCAACAGAAACTTTGCAGGACAGAAAGAATTGGCATGAAATTTTCAAAGTGATGAAAAGCAAGGACTTACAACCAAGATTGCTCTTCTCAGCAAAGCTATCGTTTAGAATTGAGGACAAATAAAGAGCTCCAGACAAGAAAAAGCTAGAGTTTTTTTCGCTACCAAACCAGTATTACAAGAAATGTTAAAGAGATTTCTTTAGTCTCTTCTATCTTTTTCTTTTTGGATCTGATGCCTAGAGTTACTGCAGTTATCTCATACCACAGAGTCTCAAGACTGAGGATAAAGTTAACATGCTGAGAATGGCAGAACGGAAAAACGGAAAGAAACTAGACTTGATAATATCAACACTTAATAGGTATTTTATATATATTTACTCTTTTCATCCTTACAACAACCTTATGAGATAGTATTCTTAATATAACCATTTTCAAAAGAAGAACATGAGTCATAAATGAGATAAATAACTTGCTCAATGTCACGTATTCAGTAAGTGGAAGAGCTGGGATATAAACCCAGCAGTCCAGCTTCAGAGCCAGAACTTTTAGTCTGTGTACTGTGGTGTCTTTTATTAAAGTCGTGTGAAATCAGCAAATCCAGAAGTTGCCCTACATTTAGACTTCTTGTTATATAACACGATAAATTTCTGTATTGATTATATAATTTTGAATGGAGTTTTCTGTCGCTTGCAGCATGTCGATATTGGGTGTTTATCTTTTTCCGGTTGATTTGTAAGATCTGTTTATGTATTAAGTATACCAACTGTTTACAGTTCGTGTTGCAATATTAGTATTTTTAGAAACTTTGCCCAAATATCGTATATTGCTGTGGATTGTAAATTGAAGCACCTCTCAGTACGGCAATTTGGGAAAACATAACAAACGACTTTGAAATGTTCATTCACACTCTTTAAACCAGCATGCCCCCCTATGTCTAGAAATTTATCCTAAGGAAGTAGCCAGAAATAGACACAAAGATTTATCCACAATAATATGTTTTACTTTATTCTTTATAACAAATACCTCTAAATATTCAAAATCAGGAAATTGGTATGGAAATTATTGTACAGCCATACAATGGAATATCATGTTTGAGAAAAATAATGACATAGAAAATGCTTAATAATATGGAGAATTGTCGACAACATATTGTTAAGTTAAAAATCAGGTTGCATATAGTCACTCTGGGAAATAGTTTGAGTTTCTTTAAAAACTAAAAACAGATTTATAATACAACCCAGCAATTGCACTCTTGGTCATTTATCCCAGAGAAATGAGCACTTATGTCCAAATAGGAACTTGTACATGAATGTTCATAGCAGCTTCATTTATAATAGCCCCAAACTGGAAACTACCCACATTTCCTCCAATTGGTTTATGTTTAAACAAACTATGGTACATCTGTACCATGGAATATGGTTCAGCAATTTAAAAATTTTTTAAACTGTCAATACGTACAACAACTTAGATGAACCTCAAGGAAATTATGCTGAGTGAAAAATGACAATACCAAAAGTATACATACGTAATTCCATTTATGTGACATTAATGAAATAATGTAATTATAGAGATAAAGAATAGATTAGTAGTTGCCAGTGGTTAGGGATGGGTTGGGGTATGGGATTGGGTATGGCTATAAAGTAGTGACACAAAGAATAATACAGTTGAGTCTCTTGATTGTGGTGATGGTTATGCAAGGCTACACATGATACAATTATACACACACAAGTGCATGTATGAGTGGTGAAATGTAAACCCTATGGATTTTACCAATGTCAGTATCTTGGTTTTGATATCATACTATAGTTGTATAAGATGTTGCCTTTGGAGGAGGTGAAGGGAAGGGTGCATGGGACTTTGTTATACATTCTTTTCAATTTCCTGTTGATCTATAATTATTTCAAAATAAATAGTTAAAAACTTCATAAACCAGGATTTATAAAATAAAAACATCTATTTAAAAGAAAATTATAAAGCGTTACATTACACTGCTCTAGCTATAATTGTTAAATAGCAATGCTAAAATAGAAAATAAAAGACACTGTTTAAAGTCTGCAATTTTTCAAAATAGCAGGATGCAAAGATAATATATCTGGTAGGATTTCAATTTCACTTAAATATATTTGTTATTCATATGTATTATATGTAAATATGTATACATCCATACGCTTACATATACATACATCTACATATATACATATGGTATAACACAGATATCTATA